TTTGTAATCTAGATTAGGCATACAATAAAATTCATAATTCTATATCGACCGGTTGGCGTAGTGGTTTGTGTAACGGACTGCTATTCCAAAGGTCGCGGGTTCAATTCTCGCTCAAGTCAAACATTTGTGTGCATGAACATTTAATGTTTGATTTGGTCTGGGTGTTTCTATGTATAATATGTATGTATTTACAAAAAAAAAGTATATATGTATTTATATCAGTTGTCTAGTACCCATAGTACAAGCTCTGCTTAGTTTGGGACTAGATGGCGTTGTGTGAATGTAGTAAAATATATAAAAAATATATATTATATTATATCGGTACGTTAAAAATACTTATAATAACATTCATAGCAAACTATATTAAAAACCAATTAGGTGATTAAGAAAGCTTTCCTTATGCTGCCAGTCAAGCCGTAGACTGTTCCTCGAAAAGCGTTTGATGTAGCTATTTTCAACTGATGAAGTAAGTTCAGACCATCTGCACGCCCTACTTCCCGGAATTGGGCCTCGACAATTACGAACGGCTAGATCTGACCTCACCAATGTGCGACGGTTAATCGCACAGGAACTGTTGTGTAATCAATAAATTGTTTTATCGATGTTTACTCGAATATATACCATGGTCATTTTCCTTTGATAAGTTAGTATAAACGGGTTAAAAACATGTTTATTTTAAGGAATTCGTTTCCGACGGTTGCAAGCGCCACGATGACGGATTAACCATAAAAATTCTGTCAAAAAAATAATGGTAAACATCACGGTTTATAATAACTTATTTATGCGAAAGTTCTCTAAATTAGTTACAAACAACCCGCGCCTCGAAATTTCACCTGATTTTACTTCTGCTTCCAGGGCTAAGTATGGTGATATTACATAGGTACTCGTATTTATTGATTGATATGAAAATTGTTTAATGTTGCCCCTAAACACGGTTCAATCTATTCTGATTCATTTTACGATCACGATTTTATGTACCTGAGAGAGTTCGAGGAAATGTTTTGTAACCTTCATTTGTTTTTAAACCTTTATTTTGTACCTATTGTCGTACGCCTGGCGTGTGCCCTCGGCAACTTTCCGTACAATTTACTCCTCGCACTTATTAAGTAGTAGGTAATTAATTAATGGTGGTCTCGTACAGAAATGTTTGTAGAAAAGTTGTAACACCTTCCTATCCAACCACCTTCATAAATAAAAGTAAATGCATATATTTGTATGTGATACATATTGATCTCTACGTCAATATTAAAAGTTAGGTATCACTACATCACAGGCTGCCATACAAACGGTGCACTATCTGTACAACGTTTGGCAGGAAGAGATCGCCGTGAGTGATAAGATAAAGCTGCCGATTATAATAATACAGTTATGTTTGTTTGTATTCCTTCTCTAAATGGTGTACGAAGAAGAAGTAAAAGATTAGATTAGACCCATACAGATTATCAAGAACATTTTTTTCTATATTTTTAGGAATTATTACATTAATTATAATAAAAATAATAACCTCACATATCTCACACAGGCAGAGCCTGTGCTATGGGAACCAGATGCTGATAAACATACTGACATATTTCTTACACATATAAATTTTAGATAAATGACACCTACAATGATTGTGCTCATTACAAAATTATTTGTCCTGGGTGCAAATCGAACCTGCGACCTCTGGCGTAGCAGTCAGGATCGCTAACCACTTGCCCAAAAGGTCTGTCAATTGTACATAAATATGTTCTGTATGCTGAAGAAGTTCGAAGTAATACTTATTTGTATCTGCTCTGTGAGGCGTTGTACTGAAGCTGGCGGGGTCGCCGAGAGAAAGTAGATTGATAGACACGATCATTTGTCACGAACATCTCTCATCCACGCTCATCGTGATTGACGAGCGTGTCCGGTGGGAGCTGGCGGCGACCCACCGCTCAAACAAACCCAAGGATTGACTGGCCCACTTTACCTTCGACTAGGTTTATTTTAAAATTAGATGCACTACCGAGAATGTATTTAATAACCCAGAGTGTTGTTCGCCAAGCTGTAGCGTGCGTTAGCTTATAATAACATCAATATTTGCGTTAAGTGCGGCGGATGTGAGTGCCACGCGTCGACCGTTTACTTTAGTGTTTGTTTTAGTCGTCATAAGATTGCCGTGAGAACATATATTATTGAAAGTACCTAAATATTCAAGTATTATCTCTATTGTAAGAAGCAATCGCGACTAATTATAGATCAGAAACTGATTGGGCAATAACCATTTTTAAGGGAATTTTAGTTACATTGTATTAGCTAACGGTGATCAGTATCGATTGGATGCTGAGGATCTGGTTGAAAATTAAGCCTATGTTTGGCATCCGTTGAACGGGGTCTTATTCGCTAAATACGTGAGGTACACTTGAAATGTCAATAGTCATGTATACATTTAGTATAAAGACATTATTTAAAAATAAGAAAACGAAATCAACAAAATGTTTGCACAGTTAAATGTTTAATTACTTTACGTAGCTTTTGGCATACTGCCAGTTTGTATAATTTTTCAACAATGTCAATAACATTAGGTAACTAATTGCGGGTCACTTTCTACCACGCAGCAGGAAACAGTCAGGCGCTTAATGGCTGCATGTCGTGTTACACAGAACCGTGGATGTCAGGAGATGAGTGTCTGACGTGCACGCCGCCAGTGAAAGTACAAGATCATCATTTGTGTATAACAAAAGAAATGTGTCGGTAATGGTGGGCCACCAGAGTGACCGACAGGCCACGACTCCAAAGAGCTAAGGTTTTGGGAGTTCGTGCCGCGTCACGCCCTGATCCAATCGTTCTCCTTCGGATCCATCTACATGCGTCACTATTAGATTAATAAACAATGATTTGTTTAGTCTACACAAGTCATGTGTGCGGAGCTTTTATATTTAATTTACAATAACTTGTTAATTTGGCTATAACGGTATGCAACCGTCTCTAACCGTAAAGGAAAACCAAGTTAAATAGGAACCAATAGACCTTTCGTTTATCTATATGTGTACATGTAATCTACAATAGGACAGGCAAAATCAATTTTTATCGTATTGTAATCAGTTACTTAAGATATTATTCATACAATTTATCTATGTATACCTAGAACGTGTAGCCAACAAATTCAATCAAGAGGCAAATTACAATGAAGACTCGAAATACAAAATTATTGAAATGTTACTTAATTACGGTAAAATGAATGATCTCATGATAATCTGATCTTTGACCGTCCTCCCAGATATTGACAAATAATGAATTTGAATACTTACACTACATTCGTCTGAATACGGTTCGTCCTTGTATAGGTATATCACTCATCGGCGTCATCGGACGCGGCTCCCCCTACAGATTTTTTCATTTTGTCTGCAATAATAGGAAAAATATTCATATTTGTATTTAAAAAATCTGTTCGCTATAATAATTTGGAGCAAGGTCGGTACTAAGTAAATGTGTATAGTGTATACCTATTTATTACTATTAGTAGAACAGGGTGCAGTGACGTGCGCGACGAATCAATTGGAAAACACGAATGCACAAAATTTAAATATTCTGGACACAAATAGATATATTGCTCTATTATTTACTTACAACTCTAAAGCAATAGTAATTAATATTAATAAATACAAGGTTTAATACGTTCATAACAGTTGATGTTTATTGCGTCACGGGTCCGTGGCCCACCAGCGCTGTTTAACGAGCTGTTCGACGGCATCACTTTTGTAGCCAGGGCATGTAAACATTGGCACACGTTTGGCAGGTTGTAATTTTATTGCAGCTCTAAGAAATTCCACTTGCCTATTATCAATTTTCCTTCTCTATAGTAATGCCATCATTACCAATACTCTAATTCGTCGGATACAAAGCTTGTGCAGTTGTCCCTGGCACATACAGGAGAAAAAATTTGCCTCTTAAATTCAATCTATCTACTAGCACTTGTAAATAAGATCGAACAAAAGTCGATCAGTATGGGCAATACATATAATTTGCGAGCTGCTGTATTTGTGTAATGACTCCAAGTTGGAAGGCTATTAACTACGTGAATGATCTAACGACGGTCATTAAAATGTTTCGTTGTTTATGATGCTCGTGAGCCAGGCTTAGTGAAACTATTACTACATTTACTTAAAAGTATATGTATTTTCAATATTCATTAATTCTTTTTTTTAGTGACTTTCTACTAGTCACCTCTCAATTTTCTTCACGGTTCAGCTATGCGAGTAACTTTACCCTAACACCGAATTCTAAGGTCTTAGGTCATACTAAACTAAACCCTAAAAACTGTAGAGATAAAAAAAATGTGTCGATTACTGTTTTTGCTACGCCTCACCGTTTCTGTACCCCACAAAACAGGGCGATCCAAATCTAGGCCAAATCCGCTGTAATTGTACTTCACATCCTCGCATCGTTTATTTTCCAGTATTATTTGAGACGGCGAAATTATTTTAAGAAAAACGTGGACGCTAACATTTCATTCGTCCAACTAATTAGCTCATTTATCATTTTATTATTTTTAATATCATCTATGCTTGATAACTAAAAGTTTGTTGCCCCCTCCACCATAAATATATTTTTGAAGCACATGTATTTACAGCAAGAATCAGGTGATATAATCAGGAATCCCACATCGCCCCAACGCACGGTTTTCAATTCGATATATTTCGTCATCTCCTGCTGCTGCCGGTGACTAATAGAACCATATTAGAATTCTTCTCACAAGTCAGTATTGGAGGACTCGAATCTGCACTCAAATAGCTTGTTCTCAACAAGGAAATGACAAGTCCAAATAGGGACGTCACACCGGTAATGGAACTTTGAATATTTGATTGCATTATGGAAGGCCAAGCGGTGTATTTATGTGTGTGGAACTGTTTTCTTTTTACCTATTGTTTAAGAATCAGTAACACAAAATACTTAGCAATTATTTTGGCGAAAGCAGCCACTTACATGCCCACGGCCCCGGAGTAATATTCTTGTAAAACTTCCATTGCAAAAAAGCTTTAGACGACGTCATTCAACTCTTTTACAAATAGTTGTAACAGGATGTCGGTATCTGATTGACGTGAAATGTAGTATCTTTCCCCGATCTGTTCTGATTGCCATTCCAGATGTGTGGCTTTCCTGCGCCAGCTCTCGCACGGTAGCTCAACACTGATGACTTTTATCGATTGCGTATCGTCCATCTACGAAACAACTTCACGAGTATTTTAATTGCCTTTTTATAGTTGTAATAGTGCTGTTCATGGTAAATTCTCTCACTAGTCGTAGTCGTAGTCTGCTGTTATGTAACACACAGTTCTTTCAATTATATTTTACATTATAATATTATTGCATGCGTGTAAAAATTATGTGTGTTATACAACACACATAATTTTTCCATGTTATGGTAGGTGTTCTAATATGGTGGTAAGGTAGTTCTAAGGTGGTCTAATATTGATTTTTCAATTTTTTCAACTTGCTATGAAAAATACTATATCTGCGTTACACGTTACCTGAAGAAGTAAGTAATAAACTCCTTAAGATGTCGTATTAATGCTTGCTCCAAACCTACTTATAGAAGCTCTCTACTCACAATCATTGAAGCGTAGAAGTTTAACGGTAATACGGCAGAGTACCTTTCAAACTGTCTTTCAGGCGTTAGAAAAATAGTATATTGATATGTGAATATACCTACCCCAAAAGTGGGTACGTTTCTAAAATGAACGCCCTATAAAACGATGTTAATAAATGAATGACATAACACCACGCATCCTCGCTTATTTTTAAACCATAAATAATGTGGCAAAATCTATGATTTATTCAATGTTGTAAACCATAAATATTTCTTATTAATTTAATGTGTTTGTTTAATCTACCCATCCCTGCATGTAGTAAACTGACATAGCATTTCCTCCCAACTTCACAGGTCACGGGTTCGGTTCCCGCTTAACGAAAATATTACATGAAAACGAGTATATCCCGTCAGTTCTATGTATAATATGTAATTTAAAAAATTATCTGCTGTTTCATCTATATAATGAAAAATGTGTATCCGATCATCTATACTCCGTGTAATGTTTTGTTAAGAAAAATGTGTACCCAAAATCAACCTGGCCTGGGCCTCAATTCTGCTATTTTATGTTAACGCCAAGCCGCTGTCATTCCATTGACACGCTATTGAGATGCCATTCATGCCGACATTGTTATCGGTCAAAATATCGGTATATTACTAACACAAATTTACAGTGTCAATAGACTGTCGAAATAGTAATATGGGTCATCAATATCAACAACATTGCCATACCTGGAAAATCTATAGAAATAAATAAAATTGGAGTGTCTGTTTGTAATATTAAAATAACCGCTTTTTACTAAATGCATATGTATTTTTACACGGTACATATGCTAAAATATATTTTTTTTCAATTTTTTGTCTGTCTGTTTGTTCCGGGTAATCTCTAGAAAGGCTGGCCCGATTTCGACGGGACTTTCACTGGCAGATAGCTGATGACATAAGGAGTAACTTAGGCTACTTTTTTTAGACTTGCTTCGCCCCGCGGTTATAACAACAAACGCGGGTAACACCGCGCAGCTCAGCTAGTTAAATATATCACTTTCTTACAAATTTAAAATGTACCGTTTACCAAACTGTTACAAAGACGTCGATGACATTTGTATCAGTGACAAGTCATCCATGTCGGCCATTGGTCTTACATAGTTAGTAGAATAGGAAAAGTGCAAAACTACTCCGACGACGTTCCATCGACAGTCTATTGATACAATATTAAAATAGCAGAATTGAGGTCCTGGTCGGAAGATCATACCAATGCGTTGGAGGGACATAACACCCGTTCCTCCACAACGTAAAAAAAACAGAAATGACCGAGATCTTTAACTTAACACAAATTAAACTGCACATCAGACAGGCATACTGCCTACATATAAATACTTATATTATAAACTAGCTGAGACCCGCAGTGTTACCCGCGTTTATTGTTATAACCGCGGGCAACGCCGCGGGGCGAAGCTAGTCTAAAAAAAGTAGCCTAAGTTACTCCTTATGTCATCCTATCTGCCAGTGAAAGTCCCGTCGAAATCGGTCCAGCCGTTCCAGAGATTACCCGAAACAAACAGACAGACAGACAGACAAAAATTGTAAAAAATGTTATTTTGGCATATCTACCGTGTAAACATACACATACATTTAATAAAAAGCGGTTATTTTAATATTACAAACAGACACTCCAATTTTATTTATTTGTATAGATGTAAAAGTCAGTTTGTTTGTTTGTAACGCTTTCATGCCTAAACCACTAAACCGATTTTATAAATTCTTCCATTAATGGAAAGTTACATTATCAGCAAATAACATACTATTTTGGCTACTTTTTACCGCGATAAGCGACATACACGGGCGGAGCCCTGGCAAAAGCTAGTATAAAATAAACTACGTACACAATAGTAGTATTTAACTAAGTTGGCAAATAAGCACACAATTCGCTTAGTGGTAGAAGGTTACCAATCCTATTAAGGGTGGCGTCGCTGCTAATTGCCCTGTCCAAATCCTTTTATTCAGTGAATGTGTTCAACATTACCTAACTAGCAAGGTCGTGGTCACGTGGGTATTTGGCGAAGACCAACTAATTGCTTAACTTCCATAAGCTCGAAATGTACACGTGACTACATACTTGTAATAATATAATAATAATAACTTCCCACATTTCAGACACGACAGTCTCGTCCCAATATATTAGAGATTTTTGAAAGCGAAGGGGTCGTTAAAGTCTACCTATGCCATCCTCACATATTTTTTGTCTGGCATAAATAATCTGTGGTTTAATTATCGCCTGCCGTATTGCCGAACCGATACGACCTCCTCCATGCCTTTAAAAAAAGACATCAAGGACCAAAATCCACTTGTGACCCTTGACTTGCAGGTGTCTATGGGAGGCGATGACCCGTCAGTTGGTTTACCCCTATATTATAAAAAAGCCAATACAGTGTGCCACTTACCAAAAAGATATTTATTCTTATTCCGTCATATTGTCTTATTGTGTGCGCGATATCTCTCAACAGGTATAACCAGTTAAGTCTGCTTAAGGAAACTGCCACCGAGCCGATTATACCACACCCTTTCTTGTGCACCCTGCATACCGGCTTTTTCAAGCCACCTGCTGACACAGTCGAATAATATACGTAACAGTAGGAGTCATACTTCACGACGCTGTGTCGGCGGTTAATTTACGCGTATTTAGCTAACTTGCGTAATGAAAGCTTTCCAATTTACCGTGCACTATACGTAAGGCCAAAACCTCCTTTCTAAGGAGAGGCCTATGTCCAGCAGTGGACTGTTATAGGCTGTTGATGATCATGATGATAATGATGATGATACGTAAGGTACGTGGTCTCTGTCACAACACAACTACGAGTTATTCAGGTGAATATCCGTTGCTACCAGGCTCACAGCCGACGAACGAAGGAAGTAATCTCTTTATTTTACGTTAGTTTAATTAGTTTACAATGGCATACATAATATGCCTGTCCCTAACTACGTTTAGAATGAATGCATAGCTTTTTCAATGCCTAGAACTCCAGTTTTAAACGCCCTTAAAAATTGGAAATTGGGCTCTGTTATATATTGGGCTATATCAAATATCTTTGAGAACTGGGTAAGAGGTTTTTCTGATCCAAATATTAACACGAGGCTTAAACAAACAACCATTTTAGAATTCCGTTTCTTATTTATATAAACGGAATAGTTCCCCTCGGTCTTCTTCAAAATAAAAACCCTGCTGCTCAAATAAAAAGAAGAAATAGAGAAAATAAAATGTGTAGGGCGATAGGGTTACCAGTGCAGAAATCATAGACGTCTTTGGTAGCTTTTATCGTTTATTCTGGTTTCTGTCTAGCTTGTACATATATTATCAAACTTGTACTTATACATAAAACCCTATGAGAGCAGTGAAGAGGACTGCGGGGCTATCGCTCATCACTACTTTCCTACGCTACGTGAGTGTCTTAAGAGGACTGCGGGGCTATCGCTCTTGAAGACCTCATGCTTAGCAGAACCTGATGACTGCGGGGCTATCGATCAGGTCAGCTACTGGACACCAGAGTGGACTGCGGGGCTATCGCACTCTGAGTCGTCTAGCTATCGACTGCCATACTGGAGGCTGCGTGCCGGTTTATATAGGCGGCCCTGTGCTCCCACTCCCACGATGTCGTAGGTGATGCGCGTTGAATGGAATAGATAGTCGGTGTGCGAGAGAGAAAGTATTCGGGTCCACGCGTAGTACATTATTGTCTTGCTACATTCTCCCCCTCTGGTGCTCGTTAACGTCCCGTGAGAGCACCAGCATCCTTACGAGGTCTTCCTCTTCGACGGATTGGATTTTTTTTTTTTTTTTTTTTTTTTTAAGTATAAGTATAAGTATTAGTTTATTTCTCACCATAATTACAGGATTTACATTTAAATACATATTAAACGAAAATAAAGGGACCATGGTGGGCTGATACCTGAACTAGGAATGTTCCTGTATCTCAGGTTATCAACCCTCCACCCCATATACATTGCTGTCTTATATCTAAAGTAGAACCTTAAATTTAAATACGTACAAATCACTAGTTTATTAGGTATACAATAAAAATATAGGAGGGTAGATCATAAACGATGCCAATAGCAATACTTCGTTTCTTGTTTTGTGTTCAACGACAGGATGTGTGGTACAAGTGGATGTGTGGTACAAGACATGAGTTGCTGACTTTTACGTGTCGCGATCACTTACTATGCATAGAATTGTTTTCCAAACTCAATTTAATTATGTCTTTGTTTTAAGATACACAGTATACTATATTATAATATTATCAATTTTAATTTCATCATAGGCTTCAAACTTAAGATAAATAATATCTTAAAAGTTCATGTAATTTTCTTTTGTAGTGTATTGTGTAATGGGTGGTGGCTGTGTGGTGTAATGGGTGTTAATTTGGTGTGTTGTGTAATTGGTGGTGAGTGAGTTGTGTAGTACGGTGTGTGGGGGTGTGATTTGTAGTGTGTGTTGAATTCTAAGCGGGTATTTTGTGTGCTATGTTGCACACGAAGGAAGGATAAGTGTTACGCATGTCTGTGTATTAGTAAAATAATTATAAACTGTTTCCGCCACTTCAAATAATAATTTTAAGGATATCTTCTGTTGCACGATAACCAATCGCTTTCAGGCTATTTTTCAATGTTAGTTTTAGGGTTGGACGGTTCATATTAATGATTTGATTCAGCTCATTGAAATGTCTGTACAAAAAGGGGCCATTATAGGCCAATTGACGTTGCGCAAAACCAGATTTAAAAGCGGGCACGTAGGTGCGCATTCTTCTTTTGTTTAGGGGTAATTGCGATGGTATAATAGTTTTATGGTAGTGGAGAACCGTGTGCTGAATAAATAGTTGTCTGACCGTTAAGAGATTGGCTTCCTCATACAGTAAATTCGTTGGATATTTCCTGGGCCTACGCAGCATAACTTTGATAACAGCCCTTTGTGCTCTCTCCAGCTCCATTAGGTGTGTCGCCGCAGCTCCACCCCATATGGGTATACAATATGTTAATAGAGTTTGGCCAAGAGCAAGGTATATCTTTGTAATAAGGTTTTTATCAGCAGAATCTCTGAGATTTTTAAAAATGTGTAGCAATTTACGAACCCGTTTACTGAGAGCTGCAATATGTGGTTTCCAATTTAGATTTTTGTCAATTGTAATTCCAAGGTATTTGTGGGTTTCTGCCTGGGTAAGGTTAGGACAGTGACAAAACATGGCTGTGTTAGTATCTTTTTTACAATGCAGGACGTGGGCAGTAATATTGAAATCAGTAGGTGGTTTCATGACTTCAGAGATTCTAAAACAAATGTATTTAGTTTTCGATATGTTGATTGTGAGAAGGTTGTCATCGAGCCACTTAATAATAGTTGTAAGACCAGATTCAGCCGATTTCCTAACTTGCGACCATGATTGACCTCGAAAGATGAGAGCCGTATCGTCCGCAAAAGCCAGTGAACTGCAGTTATCGATTTTAAGTTTACACAGACCATTGACATAGACCAAGAATAGCGTAGGACCAAGCGTACTTCCCTGCGGTATGCCATAGGCAACGGGAAGACTGGAACTAAACACATCAGCTACTTTTACCATTTGGCTTCTGTTTGACAGGTAATCACGGAACCATTCCAGCGCATTTCCCCGTACCCCCAAGTCTTCCAACTTAAGTAGAAGCAACGGAATGGAAACGGTATCGAACGCCTTCCTGAGATCCATGAAGATAGCTATGCATCTCTCTCTTCGGTCTAATGCTCTCGTGACTGTGCTAGAGAGGTTAGCAACCGCGTCTTCAGTACTTCTGTCCGAGCGAAATCCATACTGATTATCCGCTAAAAGTTTTTTTTTCTCCAAGAAGCTAGTTAGGCGGGTGTTAATAATCTTCTCGAGGATCTTGCTGATCGTACTCAATAGTGAAATCGGCCGATAGTTCGACACCGCATTCTCACCCCCTCCCTTGTATATCGGAACTACTACAGCCTTTTTAAAAATGGCTGGGAAAGTTGAGGAAGAGATACTGAGATTGCATAGGTGAGCTATCATAGTACTTAAAATGCCGTGAGAATTTTTTAGGATAGTATTAGTGATATGGTCTATTCCCGGTGCACTGTATGGTCTGAGGTTGAGGATTATTCTATCAATTTCTATAAAATCCGTCGGAAACAAACACAAAGAGTCGATATTACCATCAGAAGTGTTTTTTTTTAACAGCTCTGCTTCATTAGTGTTTAGTTTTGTCAGGATATCTGTTGCAAGATCTTTACCTATTGACGTGAAGAAAGAGTTTATGTGGTCGAGAGATTGCTCAGGAGACGGTAAAAGATTTAATAAAGCGGTAGGTTGTAAATGTTTGCTTTTGATGTTACACAAATCTTTAACAGCATCCCAGGTGCCCTTATTGTTTTTATGGTTCTGACTGAATTTGTTCTTGTAGTAGTTTATTTTCAATGTTTTTGATGTTTGGTTACAGATATTTCGATATTTAATATATGCTTCTTTTATAATGGCGTCATTGGGATTTTTTTTAGCAAGTTGATGTAGACGGTTTCGCCTTTGAAAGCATTTAACAATGCCTGTTGTAATCCATGGCTTAAGGGGTCTTTTTCTTTTTGTGAAGGTGGAGGTAATCGTGTTTGCGGCAATAAAATTTTGAAGTGTATCGATTAGTAATTTGGCAGCGTGTTCGGGATTTTCAGTTGACAAATACGGATTCCAATCATATGTTGTAATTGCGTTATGTAAAGATTCATAGTTAATTTTGGTTCTAGTCAATTTGGAAGGAACATCAGAGTTATGCACAAGGGAAGTAGAAAAGGATAAGCACAGTGGATAGTGGTCTGTGACATCAGCTGAGAGCACATAGCTTTTGAATTGCCCTACAAGTTTGCACATGAGATGGTCCAAACAGGTATGTCCGTGTGTAGGGATATCAATGGCGTTTTGCAAGCCATGTGAACCCACAATCTCAAGATAATCTCTTGCGTATGAGTTATTAGTATCCAATGTATTGATATTTATGTCGCCTGTTAGAACAATATTTCGAGATTTAGTTGAAAGTAACACCGTGTCCAGGGAATCGAGAAAATTATTTGGGTTCTTAAAAGAGGAGGGGCGATAAATAGCGAGGACCGTCAGGTTGTCTATCTTAGCGGCAAGACAATTTGCTTCATTAAGTTCAATTTCCTGGACATCAGCTGAGACAGCGTCAGTTATGTACATTATGACACCATCATTTTGGTTATAGCTTCTCTTACTATGGTAGAGAGAATATCTATCTAGCGTGGGGGGTACAGACTTTTCGTCACACCAGCATTCAGATAGGACTATGATGTGGATGTTCATTTTTAACCCAGTAAGATACACCAGAAAACTGTCCAAATTCTTGTTAACACTTCTTATATTCATCGAAATTATGTTAAGTTTATTTTTATTGCATGTTCCAAAACTGTCAACATCGGCCGCCAGGATATTAGGGTCTTCTATAAACGCACATGAAGGTGAACAAACTGAATCTATTTCCTCAAATAAGCGTGGACTATTCATTTCTTCGAATAATTAAAAGAAGTGTCTTGAATAGGGAGGTCTCGTTAAGACATGTACAACTAGGGATCAAAACCACGTGAATACCAGAGTAGTATTTTACGTAACAACGCTTTGTGAAAAGATTAGTGGTGATTGTTGATTTTTTGTAAGTGCAATTGTGTAAAGATGGCGTTTGTTTTGTAGTCGTGTAAATAATTTGATGTGTAGTGTTTGTAGTTTTGTGTTCAAGGGTGTGTGTAAATAGATAAGAAATTATGAGTTTGGAAATTTCGAAATGCTGTAAAGTTGCTTGTGCACCAATGTACATTTTCAAAATAATCAAAAGTTTTACTAGTCATTTAGTTTTTAAGAGTTGAATTTGGGCTTCATTTTTAATCAATATATATGGCTCGCCCTGCCTTTTTCGCAAATATACTAGTCCGTTCGAGGTCCAACAGTATTCATACGACATTGTTTTGCGAAATTCCCGGGCGAGAAAATATAGGCGTGCTGACTGTGGCGTCAGATGTTCAGATAGGTATATTTCTACTTTAGGCCTGTCTAAGCCCATATGAGATGAGTTCAGCTGCTCTGTCTTGAATCGGAGTGAATTGAGTTTGTGAGTTTTTGCTGCAGTAAGTAACTTTTCTTTTAAGAGGGTCGAAGTGAACTCAGCTATTATCCCCGTGGTGTTCTGGTTCGGCTTGGATGGCGTACGGTAAACGTCGCGCATCCCACATTCCTCTATCTTGATTCCAAGGGTGGTGGATAATTTCTTTACCATTTCAAAGAGTTTTTCCTTTGTTTCAGACTTCTGTTTCGGTATGTTGCGTATAAGGACGCTGGTTTTACGAGAAAGCCTTTCTCGAGTTTCACATTTCTCTTCAATATGTGCTATTTGTGATGCAATTTCCTTCCGCTGCTCTTCCAAACGATTTATAGTTACCTGGATATCGTCTACTTTTGAAGCAACAAATTCAATTGACTTTTCAATATCCAGGTGGTTCCTATGCGTTGTGTCATTTTGTAATTTGATTTCTGAAATATATTTCTCTAAGACGTCCAATCGCGAATTTTGTTGAGATTGCAAGGCACATATCATCTCATGCAATTCTTCCCGTACAATTTGCCGTAGATCACTTGTTTCAGAACACTCATCTGCAACCCGCCGGCGTTTGTGGTCTCTTTGAGTTATGTGCACGATTTCGTCTCGAGACACGGAGAAGGGACCCGCTTTATCGACATCGCTTTCCGACATGCTATGGGATTTACTTAAGGGAGGTGAGCGTCGTAAGTTAGGCATTGTGTTAAAGATGCACAGTAAAAGAAGTCACTCAACAGAGTTTGGCAAATCATCATCTCTTCTCTCGAATTTAGTTATAGCAGAAGTATGGTATCTGCCATTTGACCTTTCAGGTGTATCTGGGTGTGCTACTTCGTAAGTGGCAGCTCCATGTTTCTTTACTATTATGTAAGGACCGTCTCGCCGTGGAGCAAACTTTGCAGAGAATTGTTTTTCACTGTTACTAATTGGATGTGTCTCGACCAACACTAAGTCTCCAATTTTATATCCTGGATCGGGTCTTCTCTTAGCGTTTGCCTTAAATCTGTTTGATTCCAGATTATCTTCAATATTTTCTTTCGCAAGTGCCAAATCCTGAGCTAATTGCTTCAAGGCTGGAGTCAGCGATCTACTTGCATATTCTACAGGATGTTCATGCTCGCCCTCCCCCTGCACTAAAGCTGCGCCTATGGCATACTGACTTGCGTCTGCTGACAAATCTTTAGATTCAAACATTATAAAGCTTTTCAAATACGCGTACTTTTCTCAAAAATAGTGGGTAGTTTACGAAATAATCTTCAATGTATATTTGTTTTGAAATAATATTCTTATAATGAGGGTATATTCTTCTGGTATTTTATTTGTATAGTGGGTACTTCACAATACGTCAATTATACTTGACATCTGTAGCTAACTTCATTAACGTTGGGCGCCAAATGTAGGGCGATAGGGTTACCAGTGCAGAAATCATAGACGTCTTTGGTAGCTTTTATCGTTTATTCTGGTTTCTGTCTAGCTTGTACATATATTAGCAAACTTGTACTTATACATAAAACCCTATGAGAGCAGTGAAGAGGACTGCGGGGCTATCGCTCATCACTACTTTCCTACGCTACGTGAGTGTCTTAAGAGGACTGCGGGGCTATCGCTCTTGAAGACCTCATGCTTAGCAGAACCTGATGACTGCGGGGCTATCGATCAGGTCAGCTACTGGACACCAGAGTGGACTGCGGGGCTATCGCACTCTGAGTCGTCTAGCTATCGACTGCCATACTGGAGGCTGCGTGCCGGTTTATATAGGCGGCCCTGTGCTCCCACTCCCACGATGTCGTAGGTGATGCGCGTTGAATGGAATAGATAGTCGGTGTGCGAGAGAGAAAGTATTCGGGTCCACGCGTAGTACATTATTGTCTTGCTACAAATGTTAAATTATAATATAATGTCTGCAGTTTCGTACATCCTTTTTTTTGTTGTTGTCGAGTTGTAAAATCCCTTCGGATCTCCTGCTCCTCGGGAACTCAGGAGCCAGGAGTAGGTGGTGATTCCACTAAAACCATCCTGACGGCCGGCCTCAGGTGCCCCCTGGTGTATTTGAAGTCCTCGCCGAATTGACCCCATGCCTAATCAGGCCCTATCTCAGGCAAAAACACTTCCCACCCTCTTTTGGGTCTCTCTATTGCGTCTTAATGCAATCAGGCCGCCATCCTATCCTCTAACGCAGCAGTCATTCTGCCACCAGAGCTCCTCACTCTTTGGCGTCCCGCGGCCCCATCGGCGGCTGGCGTCGCCGACGTCCTCTACGCTCGGGATCGGCACTCTCCCGATCCCGTTCAGCGGTCTCTTTCTGGAGCATTACAGCTTCACAGAAAGAGACTACTGCGCCCCATCCTTCCTCACCCGCCAGCATGGCAGCAATCATTGCTGGCGGGAGTTCCGTACACCCTAAAAATTATGATATATTTACATTGTTTATGGATAGCTGTCTCTACAATATAATTAAGTATTCCTACTATTAGAGCTGACCGAAAGTCGTGGGTTTTTTACCTACCAACTCGAGCTCCAACCGGCTCGGGTCTTCGAGGTGTTTGTCCGCTGACTCACCGCCTCAGCGTGTTAGCTGTAACCATAGACGTTTTTTTGTTTTGTTACATCACTACACACACTAGTGATGCTAAAACACAGGAAGTCTTTGTTGATCTTTTGTTAGTTTTTTTGGGTGAGTTTTTCCTTTCGATTAAGAACTTGAGGCAATGTATTACAAAGGCAAACTTTAAAATCCAGAATTAGAAATTAGGGAGATAAAACGAATTGCAAAAAGCATGCCTTTGGGAGCCGTTTCCAACGAGACGAACACGATGGTTTACATAAAAAATCTTTTCTTACCGAGAGCACTGAAAGCATTTACCTATACGTATATTCCGAGCTATTGTGTTAATTTTCAGTATGCAATTTGTATGTTTCCAGAATCAGTAGAGTATATTCATACTTTTTTATAAACGATGATATATAACGTTTCTCCCACTTCAGGGAGATAGCGTGCTGTTAGTAGGCCTGCGTTTAGGTTTCTTTATTTACGGCAAATGAGTTCATCAGTATGTGATGTACTAATTTATCATAATAGCTTCTGTCTGCCTTCCGCGGCGCCTGGCCGGTGTACCGACCGCGGTGTATCGGTGAGGCCATCTAATTCTATTACACAATCGACTCGTGTACCCAGCCCTGTTTTATTACAGTTCACACGAATTGCTCCAATTAAGCCATCTTTGTGTTTCTTCGTTCTAAAATAAAATGAGTTTTAAATTGATTTCCGTTTCCTTATTGTTAGAAAGAATTAATTTAATAATTGGTAAAATAAAAGTGTTTTTTTTAAATTGATATTTTGTCAGCTACTTATATCATCGCTTCTACATCAGGCGGATCTTTAGACGGCTATTGGGAAGGCAATTGGCACAGAAATCTAGCCAAGGATTTGTGATATATGATTGAATTAAAGAGAGAGACAATTTATTTATAGTGTCTCATTCTAAATGTTTCATCAGTTCCAAATTAATGTTAGTCTTAGTCATATTTATATTCGGACAGATAGTAAATAACAAGAGATTCTGTAGAAGATAGACCAAAGTCGAACGACAAACGAAAGACAATGGCGATGGCAATGGCGTTGAAGAATAAGAAAGAAATTAACAGAAACTCAGCTACATCCTAGAATCCTCAAACTATATCATTGACATGTTTTCTTATAATAATAAAATATATTTTTTTTAACTTAATTAGGATTTAATCACACAGAAAACACATTAACTGTTAACCATTCCGTTGTAAGATAACAACCATGATGATGTTATTTTTTGGTTTAGCTTACGCTTTCTATCTATCTGTTCTATCGAAGAATTCTATATAGGTGAAAGTGTGCTGTACATGACTATACACAATATGATCCCAAGTAGAGACAATAACTCATCATGAGTTACATTAAAGTTATTAAGGTTAATCAGAACATAAGGCCACACCCCGCGTCCCGCTCCCATCGCCCCGGTCGCTCCCACACGCACATTTGCACCGAGTGTCTATGTCGCATTTCAGCAATATTCGCACGTGTACCTACTCTTGGGTTAGAATTACTAAACTAGATATGCCACGAATAGTGATTTGGCTCAATACCGAATAATGAATATTCGGCGAGTCTCTTGGCCGAAGGGCCGAATATTCGGCAACACTTTCCTATAAACAAATGCTGAAAAAGTTGTGTTAAATATTAATATGAGAAGTTATTGGTAAAATTAAAATCTTTGTGAGTAATATTATGCATTCTTTTTATCATGATTTACTATTCGGTGTGTGGCTGAATAGTTCGGAATATTTGGCAAAATACCGAATAGTGAAAAAAATGGTCGAATAGGCCGAATATCGAATAGTTGCCGAATATTCGTGGCATCTCTAATCTAAACCCAACGGGTAATTTGAAAATACAACATACCTTAAACTAGTTATTTCATCGATACAATTTCATCAGTCTAGTTTAGTTCAAGAAACCCTGGTATTTTGACTCTCTTACCAATTCTGTTAACGCTCTTCATTTTACAAATCTGTAAATTATATACATACTTATATTGATCTTTGTTAATTAAAATAACCGATCTTTTCAAGAAAAGACACAAATCAGACTAAAGAGATGTTCCGCTAGTACCCGGTGAAGTACCTGAGAAATGAACGAAGAGTTCCACCACACATAGTATACAGATAACCTATCTCAATAAATCGTCCCTCTGCGGCACGTATGGTATTCCAGCACCTGGCGAGTTGCCAGCTGCTCCACGCTATATTTAGCCGCCTCCACCTAAACTATCCGCACAATAATGTACGGAGTTTGAGATTAACGGTTTGGAGTGAAACAGGCGTCTCATTCATGGTACCACTCTTTATTAATATAATTATGGATTTTGGAAAATAATCTATGGTTGATATCTTTCACTGGTTCATAGGGAGATCATGAAAAGAGAAGTATCACGAGACGCCGAAAGTACAAACAAGGAATAGATACAAACGGATGTCACAACAGTCGCCGTCAACTAGGACATAACTCGTAAAAGTGTACTCACATTTAGGATTCCTTTAGTGTTACGTGTTAGTAATTGTGGGTGAGCTTGTTATTGGCCGGAAGCTCTCATCTGTTAGCGGTTTGTCATTTATGGCAAAAACACAATTACAGTCAGTTTGGTCCGTCCAAATAATGGAATGAAGTTTGTCTCATTAATCATTCATAAACGTCACGTGTGGCGTAATTAATGACAAAGGTACATTTGTGTCTTATAAGCAAAGTGGGAACGAAGACACATCTTCTAGCAACTCGATAGTTTTACAGAAGAAAAAGTAAAGTATTTATATACATCCGAAGCTCACACAATTCCCAATGCAGATCTATGCGAGTTCCGTGCTAATTGGTGTTAATCGATACAATTGTTGGTAGAACGGAAACTTTGTAACAAATAACCGTGCCATGTGTTTGATTTACTGGGAGTACGTATCGTATGTGTTCGATCGGAGCAGAATAATTAGAAACGCAGGCGCAGGATGTGCGCGCGAGTAGACTGCATGTGCGCGCACGAGCGACGGTAACGCGTCGCAGATGTGCCCCGCGCGTGCCTTAATACCCGTGTACCAGGCCACTTGCTGTTTACGAATTCGGGTAAAAATCACCTACGAAACAAGACCGTGTACTCAACTAATAAGACTAGTTTCATTGTAACACAATATGTAATAAGAGATGCTCACCAAATGGTTATAACATCTACTGAACAGATCCTTGAGCCACATATTAGGAGTAATATGACATCATTTGCATGTCTAACGTCCCACGTCCAATTGTCGCGCGATGAACAAACCGACACGAGACGCTAGACGTATATGGAACGATCACGACACGCATCACTGCACTTCTTCGTCTAATCCAATCTAAATACAGACTATTAAATTATGCCTATATTATTATTAAGCTCATTCACAGTTTTAAGATAAATATGAGAGAGAGAGGCAGATATAAGACAGAGATAATTATAAGTCAATAAATAGACTTATAAAAAAAAATACTTGTCTACATGGATAGAAAAATAAAAAATGATACCAATAATGATGGTGCATAGTCATACAGCTAAAAATAAAAGTGCATGGTACGTGGAGACACGTGGCTTAATCCCGTTGATAACTCAAATTGCTGAAAATATAAAAACGAAATGGTCACTAATTATCAATTTAACGTAAACGTGTGGAGCAACGAGTGAATTTGTTCAAAACGGTTAAACAGGGGTATAAATTCAGGTGTCATCACGGGAGAGGCAAAAAAAATTGATGTCCTTTATCTGCTGGTAATAATTGTAGCTTTACGATACTATAAAGCGCGCCAGAAGCTAAGTCGTCATCGTCCGTACTTTAGCATACATTACCCCGTTCTAAAATTAAACCATAAACCGTCCCCAAAGTTACCAACCAGCTGACGCTAATTTGTTTAATTATTTTACATATTCAAAAATAAAAATACCCAGAACACAAATAACTTAATACGTGACAATTTTGTTAGGTTATTTACACATCTGTATAAGACGAAGCTGAACTGTTTGTACATGCTAAAATATTACTTGGTCTTAACATTAGGCGTGTGTCCTGTGTAGTGCAATGTCCCTAGTTGATTTAATTACTTCAGTACGTAAACGTGAATGCACCAGTCATGTATAAACGTATCTCCATATGGAGCAAGAGATGCCCTCGCCGACCCAATCACGTAACAACTCTGTGCAAATAACTGGCGTAAGTATTGATAACTAGACCACCGTACATGAACTACTGTTCTCTCATACATACAATTAATAATATAATCATTATTATGAAAAGTACATAATAGATAATATAATATATTTTACTACATTCACATAATGCAATCTAGTCCCAAACTAAGCAGAGCTTGAACTATGGGTACTAGACAACTGATATAAATACATATATACTTTTTTTTGTAAATACATACATATTATACATAGAAACAACCAAACCAAATCAAACATTAAATTTAATTCATTAAATGTTCATGCACACATATGTTTGATTGAGCGGGAATCGAATCCGCGACCTTTGGAATAGCAGTCCGTTACACAAACCACTACGCCATCCGGTCGTCAATGCTTTTCAAAACATTGGCGTAGATGCTCGATAGAAATCAATAATACATTGTTTACTTTCCTAATTTTGTTAGAGTTAAACATTTCGAGATCCCAGCTCAGGAAGTTCCGAGGAAGGAAGAACAAATACTCAATAGACATGTGAAGCTGTCACTTAATAAAAAACACACTTAAAACCTAATATTTCCCGACAATGTTACTTTTTATGGGTATGATAAAGCAGCAAATAAGCTTGCACAATAATGTGGTAGATCTCATGTTATGATCGTTTTATCATCTTATTGAGGTGTCTGAATAGGTGATAGGCATTTTAAACGATCGACTAAAACTCTTAATGATGATCGGCGGTATGTGCTCACGTGTGTGTACGTGCCGGTGCATTAGTCCGTGCCCGTTATGTCCCGGACAGCCCCATCGCAACGTGTCACACTATTGACCCCGCTGCGATTAGCGTTCATTCTTACAACAGCCAGTTTATTGGAATCCATTAGGGAGCGCACGGGCGACCCCATCGCGCTCACTAGGGTTGCACATTTCTAAAGTACCTAACTACTTCAATATGTGACATTGAGAGTTCAATAGTCATTTGTTAGGTTTTTATAAAAACATACATGTGTATGTAAACAGAAGAGAAAAAACTCGAATGTGATGCAGATTCAAAATGACCAAATCAATACATACGGCGGTGCTTTCAGAAAACAACCTAATTAAACTTTATGCACCAGGTTTCACAATTACAAACGAAACAATTTAGTTTAGTTTCAAGGAGCATAATAATATTTGGAAGTGACACAAATGGTGACACAAATGGAAAAAATAGTGCTTGTTTGTAAACGCTGCATTCTGCTGTACTCTAATCTTAACCTGCCTTTTCTCTTTAGTTTACACCACTTTTGTGGCATAATCTAAAGAAGTATGTATAAATATAGGATTGGTTTCACTGGTGGCGTGGGGCAGCCCTGGTCAGCACCGTTCTCCACCAACTAATCGCATTTGAATGGTCCTAATTTAAATGTCGCGTCGATCAAAGTGCGTCTGTTCACTAGCATTAGGGTAATGGGCCCACGCGCCTCGCGCGGCGCTCGGGTTAATTAATTGACTAATAGCTATCACCATTTTATGCAAATTAGGGGACCCTTCTTCTATCATGTTTATGTGTCTGTTTTATCTATCTCTCTTTGTTTTACTTTGAACGCCTCATTGGCTGCTGAAAGATTAACTGCTCATAACACACGGCACTTTGTTATTACAAGATATCATCAACTTACGTTTCGCCTACAATTATATGATTCGAAGACATATTTGAGTTTCATTTAAATATTCAGTATTTAACTTTTACGTTTCCGATAGATATGCAACAACTGACCCTTTTTTTTTAATTTTATTATTTATAGAACTTCATGCTCTATTGCACAGCGGCGGATTTAATGCCCAGCGCATTCCCTACCAGTCGAACTTTTGGGTGAAGTAAAAATCTTTTATATGTGGAATCTTGCGGTTTAATGTAATTTCAATGATAGGTTTGAGAAATAAGTGAATCCCGATAGCAAAATGCATAGTATGTGATTGTTAGAAAGTGACAGCTTCTACTCTGAACAAATGCATGTAGTATAGAATATAGGTATTAGAGTCGATGTCGACTGTTGGTTGGTTGGTTGTGCGATCAAGTCATCAATGTTTACACTGGATATTTGTTTTGCAGGCAAGGTGGTATGTGCGATGTGCGGCGGCAAGTGCAGCGGCGAGGTGCTCAGGGTGTCCGACAAGTACTTCCACACGGCTTGCTTCACGTGCCGCACGTGTTCCGCGTCGCTCGCTAAGGGCGGCTTCTTCTGTAAGGACGGACACTACTACTGCCCACACGACTACCAAAGGGCGTTCGGCACACGCTGCGCGGCTTGCGACCAGTACGTGGAGGGCGAGGTGGTCTCCGCGCTCGGCAACACTTACCATCAGAAGTGCTTTACTTGCGCACGATGCAAGTGAGTATTTTACAAGTTTCTTGTCTTTTTCATAGCGTGCTGCACTTTGTCGTTACCTGTCAGTGACTTGTCCCTGTACGTTATAATACACTCATAAGGTTTCTTCTTATATATGTAATTTGACGTTATGCATGTTAGTTTTATGTTTTTCTTACAGCTACTGCATATTTACTCTTGCTAGTGGTTACAATGCACACAAGAGATATTATTATCATACAGGCACCACTTAAATAATTTACCAAATATCACATCAACACTTAGTGAGGAAGCCAACTTTTAAACTTGAAGTGTTTCTATGTGAATAATATTAGCTCATCGCTGTGAAAAAACAAGTGTCGAAGTAAGTAATTACGATCATTGTAATTCCTAAGCCAGGTATCAGATTCGGTAGAATGCGGCAAGGGCGGCTAGTTCAAGGCCATCCTCTTGGCACAGCGTGCAACGGTGCGTAACCGTGAGAACTAGATAACTGACACACTTATGGGCTTGAACACGGGCTTGAACATTGGGCGGTGAAGACCACACAGTTTTTTCAAAGAATCGAATCGGGCGTCTGATAAGTCCGAACTAACTTCATTGCGCTTCTAAAGGCTACGGTGAATAGCGAGCTAACATCGTATACGGGACATAAATGGATTTGTTTTGCTCCGGATACAGTGACAGGAGTTTGAGGTCGAAATTGATTGCACTGTATTGTTGTGTGACCAAGTTGAGTGTAAAAACACATACTTTTAGCCATAGCTGGACTGCCGCCCCCAAACATGCCTGGTTGGTTTTATAGTGAAGTACCTACCAGGTATTTTAAGGATTGCCGACTAATCTTACTACAAGGACAACCGCTAAGATTTTCTACGTTTCCACATAAACAGCTATGGATGCTGTACAATCGGGAGTTACACGATGTTTTTTGTCATTTGTCAAATTTCCATTATTTTGAGAATTTTTGTCTGATAATACCTATCGCAACTTTCTGCTTTTCTATAGTTTCCTACAATGTGGTTAGCTCAGGTTTCAATTATTGTTTTGCCAGTCAGAGTAAATTATTTTAATCGTCATTTATGGTGATATGTTATTTCCAGACGCGCGTTTCCCTCCGGCGAGAAGGTGACATACACGGGCGCAGAGGTGGTGTGCAGCAGCTGTGTGGCGGTACCGCAGCGCCAGACCGCCCGAACCGCGCCCCCCCACGCTTCTCCCGTGTCGCCCACTTCACCCGCCTCCCCTGCCTCGCCCGCTTCACCCGTGCGGGACATGTCCTCGCGCACAGAGAACGCACACGACCAGAATGGTGAGACTCCACTAGGTATGACGCTTTTCATTACTCTTACACCTAGGAGGACATCGCGAAACAGGTAGAGTGGAGCTGAAAGTAGGCACGAGGAACCTTTACCACGAGCTTACTCTAAAATTAATGCAGAGTGTACATACAGAGCTACATATAATTCATTTTCTGTCATGCATAGACATACGTAGATATGCATATTTGAACTGAACTTTGCACTGATTTTTTTACTTTAAAGCTAAGGTTTTTTGTAAGAACACAAGAATTATTTCACCCGGATTAGACTCAGAACATCTCTGGTTTTCGTCCTGTTCAATAGTGAAAAGTATATGAGATATAATTAGTTATCTTGAAACACCACAAAGCTTTGTACGTACACGAAAGTATTGCACAGCACCAGCACTCACCAGTTGACTATAAATGTTGCACTGACACCGTCATCTCACGCCATACTTTCATGTTCGCTCACCTCAGCATGGTGCATGATCCGACTCGTCGCTTTTCAACGGCTTCAGTGTGTAGAAACCAGTTCATTTATAAGGCATGTTACTGATTTGATAACTTCGCCGAATATTATATAAAGTACAGTTGCACTTGAAGCATTGGAAAACGAAGGTCTTTAATTTTATATGTTAATGAATTGCCTCAGAACCCTGACATTTTGACCCTATAGTTCCTCGGATGTTACGACTTTCCGTGACAAGCGACAGTTATATACTCGTAACAATGAACCATCACCTTCACCCGACATTGAGATCTGCACCTCGTAACGCTGTCTCATGCTCATTTGTCATTTGTCACGGCTTTGAGGCGAATGCAAAATACGAAGGTCCTTAATTAAACCCCTCCTAATCAAACATTTCTTCAAAACATTGCATTTGGTAAAAAAAAAGAAAACTAATATAGCCAATAGTGGTTTTGTGTATCCACTGGCATCATGGTTCCAAGTATAAATGGAAGGTACCTATATCTAGGTATATCCATAGCCAAGGTGAACGGTTATCACATGTTTGTAGTAATTCCCTTGGCTTTTATTTCACCGTAAGAGTCCTTTTTTGTTTTTGTAACTCATCTGTAAATTGTAAACGTGTGCGTCGGTTTCTCAACATACATACGAGTAGTTACATGGGAGAGGCGCTGACTGACAATGTTGTGTTTATTATTTCAGAGTGTGCCGGCTGCGGCCAAGAACTTTCAGAAGGGCAGGCGCTCGTCGCTCTCGACAGGTGAGTGTTCAATAAATAACCTCCACTCGACTCCTTGTTAGTTATTAATGAGTTCGGGTCGACGCACCGCGTGCAAGGTCGGCGCTATGTACTAACTAACAGCACTCAATTGCTTTTTATTTTTGTTTTTAAGTTATTTAGATAACTTTATGGGCGGTTCGATATCAATTTTGAATTTAAATTCGTGTTTTTGTCTTTCATGTTCATATTTGCCTAGTTTAAACGTGGTTATAAATTCTTCTCTCACTTCGGGACCAAAAAAATTTTTAACTTTTATTCGCTGTGAGACATTCTGCGTCAAACCTGCCGATGCCTTCTACCCTTCCTCATAATGAGAGCATTCGAGTTTCGACTTGTTTGTAATCGTCCATGCAAAATAACGATATGAATCATTCTTCTTATCTGTTCGCTAACTTTAAGGTAGTCACATTGACGATGTAGTAATAAGTATTTGATGTGCTTCACTCGGTGGAATTTGAATGTCTGAATGCGTGCAGGCAGTGGCACACGTGGTGCTTCGCGTGCGGCTCGTGCGGCTGCGTGCTGCAGGGCGAGTACATGGGGCGCGACGGCGTGCCCTACTGCGAGCGCGACTACCAGCGCCTCTACGGCGTGCGCTGCGCCTACTGCCAGCGGTACATCTCCGGGAAGGTGCTGCAGGTAATGGGGACTGCTGGCCTTGCTCCACGCTTGTAGCTGCCACCCATATCCACTACGCATCTGAGGTGGCAGCTACAAGCGTACATAAAGCTACAAGTGTATGGTGGCTTCCATTTATAAAGAAATGCAAGTTTAAATAGGTAATTAGATAGGGAAGCACCCCAACAAACAGTTGACACATGTTATTGTAACATGTGTTTCTCGTGTTTATCGATTATGTATTATTGTTATTATTGTACGGTTAAGATATATTACAAGTTATTCAAAGTGAACGGTTAATTCAATGTATACATGTCGTTATCGGTTGTGTTACTGAGGTTATGTTCATGATATATATAATTCACAAGTCAGTAACGTTGCATATTGAGATCACAATGACAGTTGCATGCGCTACTGCGCGTGTATGTAGTGAGACGGCGTCACTCGGCTGTGACGTCACAGACAACGGGACCGCTGCGTGTGTGACGTCACAATTCCGTGCACTCGTCTAACTGGCCATTGTTTACATAAAGCATTCGGTATTGCTCATACATAACGCACGTGGACGTTAGCAACGGTTGTATCAGTTATGGACAGGACCCTAATCGATAATTATAATTATTAGTTAATAATGTTAACAAAAATATAAGCGCTTGTAACATTGTTTCATATTTTAGTTTCCAAGAGTACTCGATTGTTTTTAACTTCCTAAAATAAATGTTGCGCAGAGTATAACACAATTACACAACTTATACAGTATAATGTCGATTTTCTGATTAAAAATAATAAGTAAGTAAACTAGTTTGGATAGCACATTGGTCACAACGCATACTTACGTTTGCTTATAATAACTCATATTATTTGACAGTACTTGTAAAACTCAAGTCAAACAATTCATATTTATTGTTATGAATATGAATTGTTTGACTGAACAAGGGTTATCTACGACTATCTAGGTACTATAAAGGTAATTGATGAGGAAGTGTAACGGATAGAGTGTGTCCAGGCGGGCGAGAACCACCACTTCCACCCCACGTGCGCGCGCTGCAGCAAGTGCGGCGACCCCTTCGGCGACGGCGAGGAGATGTTCCTGCAGGGCGCCGCCATCTGGCACCCGCGCTGCGGGCCCGCCCCCAACGACCCCAGCGACCCCCGCGACTCCAGCGACCTCCACGAACATGACCGCGCCTCCGCTGACCTTCAGGTATACGCTGTGCGAACGAGATCCTGCTCAAAGTCGACACCTCGTATTTTGATTTCATCCTTTACTTGGTATTTACTCAAAATGTAGTTGTACCGATTGTTACTAAACAGTTAGATTTATACGAAATATTGCCTCGACCATCTACAGCGAATATTTGCTTTGTACCGCCATTAGCACACAACAGTACTGCAATCACTGGTAGTGTTTTATTTCAAAGCCGTCAGATATAATTAATAATTTTCGACCTGACACTGTTCATTAATTATTGTAGTCGCTATGTGTACAGCATGAAATGTATATAGTTATTAATAGCCTACCTGTTTACTTAGACCCGCAGATAATAATATACTGTCTTATTGTACGATATATTATGGGTATCAAAAGAGCATTGCTTTTTGTGTCGCCGCAAACAATCGTACGTGAATGCACGTCCTAATACCTGTTGTGAAAGCATCGCCACAGTTGTGCACATAGGAGTATGTGTATTGTAGAACCTGGCTATGATCATTGTGGGTTCAATTCCCACTCGGACAAATAATTGTGTAATGAACACGATTATTTTGTCCTCCATAAAAGGTACGTGTAGGTTTATGTGTCTCTGACAACATGGTTTCATGAATGCGTGACACGCGTGAAAGTGTATCAAACAAACCCATTTTCGCGTTAAGTGAGTGATTGAGTTTTAGTTGTCACACAAACACTTGTCTCAGTTTTAAATATCTAGATTTATTTTTTGTCAAATATTTTATTTGGTATATTTTTTTTAATTTTGTTTTATAATACACCCCTTTAGCGGTACCAATACACTGTTCACAGGCAAACACACGTCTTTGTCTGTGCGCATTCATACAGATATTCTTCATTTCTATCGCAATGGATGAGCTCGGAATTGTACAAATTTATCAGAAAATCATAAATCAAAACATTTTGAAGTATATTTTTTCTGTATAACATGCATCATTCGCCGCACGCACCGGCCGCCCACTACTTACTTACTGAACCAAATTAATTTAAGTAATTATAAATAGATTAAATTTTAAATGAAATTATTAAAATCTTTGCCAAAACTTCAGCAAAATCAGAAGTAAATTGTTATAATCTGTCTGACTGAAGCAGACCGCCATTGTTATTTCTTTTTAAATAGAGAAAATAAAGTTTCATATGTAAAGTTTTCTAGACACAATCTTCTTAACTTTTTGACTTCGACATCAGTGTTTATAGTATAGATTTTGAGTTTATAACATTAATTTGTAGTAAATATTGGGTAAGATGGGTTATACAAATACCGTTCCCCCACGGTGCAAGAGTTTGTAGCGCGTGGCGTGTCTGTGGCGCGTCAGTGGCGTGGCGCGTGTGGCGTGTGGCGTGACGTTGTCGCTCGTTGTGTGTAGTTCTCGCTGCGGTCGCGCACGCCCAGCGTCAACGGCTCCTACTGCAGCCCCTACAGTAGCTTGACCAGGAAGGTCCGTCACATTTTATTTTTCTTTTTATTATTTATAATTTTTGATTTAATACCGTAATGTGTTCTTGAAATATTACCTATCGTATCAATATCGGATCTAAACGCGATCTTTATGCTAAGTATCACATATTGATATGTAATACTGGTGTAAATTGTAAAACTGGAAAAAAAAGACTAAATGTAGACCCTTTATAAAGTTTACTAAAAAGCCACATAAAAGTGTTTATATTTTGTTACTTTGTGCGGGAAGTAAGTGATTTTTAAACACAGCATATTTTTACAATGTTTCAAGAACACATGCGTTTAATTTATTTTCAGTTGACACATTTACACGTTTCAGTTTTTTATTTTTTATTTATTTTATGTCGTATGTTATCGTCGTCGTCAGCACGCGGCGGCCGAGCATGTGAATGTGTTGACTAACGATACGATACTTTGTAACGACCGCTTCCAGCCAACTATGAGTTATTTCAAGATGAAAAGAAATGTTCAAGCAGACAGAGTAGATGTCGCTGATAACTCCAGTAGATGTTTATTATGAAATATTTTCCAAGTGACGATGTGAAAGTGGCAGTTATGGCTTTAATTATTACCGACACACATTACTAAAAGACATGCTTTTGGTATACTCGGGTGTAGATCCAAACTCTATATTCGAGAAAGAAAAAGAAGCCAATTGCAATTATACCGTTACTAACATTACATGAGCTCGTTTCCACCGGAGCGCTCGTGCGAGGAGTATAACGTCTGTGTGTTGTGCAGTACGGGTACCGCGCGGTGTCCCCGGGGCTGGTGCTGCGCGAGTACCGCGACGCGGGCGCGTGCTCGCCGCACCGCATCACCACGTACTCGTACCTCACCAGCGAGCCCAACTACCTGCGCCGCCCGCTGCAGCCCTACGACCGCGCCACCACCTCGCCGCACTTCCACCGCCCGCCCTGTAAGTGTCGCGCTGCCTCTCGTCACCTCCCCGACCCCCCGCGCTCCCCCCACTCACTGTGTCCGTGTGTACAGCGGCGGCCAGCAGTACCCGCGCGTCGTCCCGCGCGGGCAGCAAGGCGTCGTCGCGGCCCGGCATGCGCGTGCTCGTCGACTCCATGCGCAGCGAGACGCCCCGCCCCAAGTCTCCGCACATGAACAACGAGGTACGAGTTTTGTGTTACCGTCCCAAACCCGACCCAATCCAAACGTTACCGTCCCGTCATCTCGGTAGTGGGTCCAACCCTCGGCTTCTTACAGTTTATGTGTACGCTAGATGAACTTAACGTTTACCGATTCCACGATTCCAGGAGCCGATAGAACTATCTCACTACCCGGCCGCATTTAAACCGCCGCCTGGAACTAAGTCTAAGATAGAGAGAGACGACTTCCCCGCGCCGCCATACCCTTACACGGACCCAGGTATTATCTCCGTTTTATATTCTTAATTGCTCTAGCATGCACTAGGTTTCTGGTTTAGTCCCAGAACGGCATATTTAAGACAGTACAGTTACAATAAATAGGAAAAAGAAAGATAAGAATAATGAATTGTCCCTAGAACGTCGACGCCGCTGGTCGGACACGTACAAAGGCATGGTAGACAGCGACGATGAGACGGACGGCAAGGTCAACGGCAAAGTCAACGGTAACGGAGATATAGACCCTAAGCTGCGGAGGGAGGAGCAGGAGCTCGCCAAGATTGAGACAGGCATCGCACAGGTAAGTCATAATTCGTGTACAAAAGAGACTGTAAACAAAGTTATGTTGAACACATACATTTGTTTCTATAATCGAAAACGAATGTACTTTATTTACATGTTGACCTTTAGAAGTAAACATTTTGTTTATACACTGTGAAATCAGTCAGGGAACTATATTTGCTTCATTGTTCATAGTTTATTTGATCGTTCATTTCAGGTATTCCTAAAAGAAGTGAAAGAGCGAGAGAAACTACAGCAGTGGAAAAAACAGAATTTGGATCCTAGAAATGCAAGCAGGTATGTACAGTACAAGTGAGTACAGACACCATGGAAATGGTGATATCGTTAGTGAAATGAGGTGGAAATTTTTATTATGTTTTTTAAAAACTATATAATCTAGATCGAAGACATATTATTGAAAAATGGATGGCCTTCCTACTGACGAACATCCATTTCCGGCTAACATTTGCAAAATGAGTCAGCAGAACCGTAATTAATGTAGGCCAAGAAAGATAAAGGTCCTAACGTGCTACCCTGCGGTAGTCTCGATATAATGTTGTCAGGTAGTCACTGGGAGTGTAGCGTGTGTCATCGAAGATACTTTCTATCACTTTCACCTTCTACCTATTTTTTTCTATCGGATGGCAAGTCTGCTCGTTTGCTGTTATTTTATAAAAAAATATATGATGAATGTAGTCAAGGCTAGTGCTAGTTCCGTCGACGTATACGTTTAAAAATAAACGTCACGTACATGCTAGTACACGTGACGTTTATTTTACCGGAAGTTGGTACCTCCGGTTGTAGTCAACCGGAGGTTCCAAGTTCCGGTTCAGTTCCTTGTTGTGAACCCTTGCGCTACTCGTGGTCAGGACACCGTCGGCGTCGCGCGAGCCCCTGCCGCGGCTGCGCTACTCGTCGCCGGTGGGCGCGTCGCCCTCGCGCTCGCTGGAGCAGCCCTCGCGCCACGCGCCCAGCCACGCCAGCCACGCGCACATCCCCACCTACAACGGTCAGTGCCCACCCACATCGCCCGCACCCCTACACCCTCTCTCTGCTGACGCGCGTTTTCGATCTTCGGCCCGTTTCGTGTCGCGCGATCGATGACAGCTTTAACGATAAAATCTTTCGAATCACCGAGACGCCCGAAAATTGAAAACGTAGCACTCACCGTATGAATCGATTTAAACCACACGATTCGATATCACATTGACCGTAACGATTATGAATATATCTATGTATTTGGAATCATTATGAATACCTGTGTACTAATCCCCGCAACTAGTAGCCGACCACTCACCGAACGGTATTTATCTAACTATGTGTAACTAACTAGAAGGTTTCGTAATCGATCGTATTCAGTGGGGGAAGACTTCGGGCGGATACTAATGCCTTACCGATTTCTTTTTTAATGAGGTGCAAACCGAGATTATACTCTTTAATGCAAAAATACTCTTGTATTCTAAACCGTATCCCCAGAAGTGTAATGTTGTCACAATTAAGTTTTAATCTCGGTCTGCAGCACCGCGTTTAACGCGCTAGACACACTCGAGTTCATACCCGACCCTCGACGTATACCGTTACCAACTATTAAATAAAAGAAATGGTACTGAATCATTATTGAAAAGATTCGTTCGAAACGAATACACTTGGATCTTGAATTACTTTAATAATTTTGAAGTGTCTCACGATACGACTTAAATCTCTATTCGTACTCTTATGATTAGCAGAAACCTGCGTTATGAACGGTGTCATGACTAACAATAAATTATAATGTTGTTTATAACGCAGCTTCCTGCCATCCTTAGTTATAGTGCAAAGACGATAGAAATATTTTGTTTGTAATATGTATGAACTCTTGTGTCGACTGATATTCGTATGTGTATGAAGGACATTGCGTAGGTCCCCGTGACCGGCTCCGTAGTGGACATTACACCTTGTGTCTGTTGCAGTACAAACGTACATGTACTCCACCGACGACGGTGAGTTCCACTCGCATATATACGTTTGTTAATACTTTGATGCGTATAAACAGGGAGATACTGGCACGTGTGTGGTTCATTCTAACTAAAAAAATCGTAATTAAAATATTTTTAGAAGACGTCTTACAAAACACTCGTAGTTTCTTGTGTTTTATAAATATCTCGTATATCACTCTAAATTATCTATAACATTTGGTTCTGATGTATTTAAGTTTACCGTTACCAACAATAATTTTAACGTTAGTTCAATGTGTTGTTATAGCACAAAAGTGTTCTAAAACGAATGGACTAGGTCGAGTAACCAGTAAAAGTAGAAATTAACAGCACTAAACGGTGAACTAAATATGAAAAGAAGAATGCAACTTACTTTCTAGTGTTACAACTATTACAACACACGTACGCCGGTATCTGCCTCTTTATAAATTATATAGTAAGCATATTTTGGGCGAATTCGACATCTCGTAGTGATCACACTTTCCATCGCAACGTAACGTGTCGCGTCGACGCTTTGTCTTTCATCGCATACTGCGGCAGCGAGGACCGCGGGTAGGAGCCCCTCGAGCGTGTCCCCCACTCGGCCGGTGGCCGTAGAGAGTGGATGGCGCGCTCGGGCGGGCCGGGCGGCGCCGGGCCGCGGCGGCTGCGTCGTACTGCTCTCGCTCACCGCGCACAGGAACTGTTGTAGAAGAGCCGCTCGCTGTTCTTTCTTATATCATTAGTGTTGTGTTGGTCGAGCATGCTTTGTTAACGTCGCTTAAATAGACTCGTTCCTACCGTAGCCCATTCGACTTTATGTGTTCATTCGTTTATTATTTCCGCTCCACTGTCTCCACTGTTTGAAAAATGTCGACGCTGAGGATGAAACTCAATGTTGACAGTCTGCAAAATGTAAGTTGAGTTAATGACTGTCCAACCGGTCTCTCTTATTGAGAACGTTGTGTGGAATAATAACGAATGGACGACATACCGTTCATTTGTCTTGAAAACTTCTTTTAATTCGATGCCTTTAAAAATATTCAAGATATAAAAATTAAATCACACTAATTTTGACTAAATAAAGCTAAATGAAACAAAGTTATGTGATACCTGAGCCTCAATTCATTTGTTGATTGATTGAGGAAATGATTTATTTGTTTTTAATAAATTATTAAAAGAAAGTTAGTTAAGTAAATGATTTCCTCAAAAAACGTAATATATTTTCAACTACCGATATTTATACCGATGCCAATGGCCACTCGATGGCATCTCAATAGCGTGTCAGTGGTATGACACTGGCTTGGCGTGAACATAAAATAGCAGAATTGAGGCCCTGCGCTAATTCCCACTAGTTTGTCAATAGACGATGACCGCTGGGCCATCTGTTGTGTACAACTGTGTAACTGACAAAAGTTTAGTTTTGTTGGTCGGGGGCCATTTCGTAGCTGTTTGTGTTACGTCACCATTGTCGCTTTAGCTTTGTGATGTGTTAATAATGTCACTATACATATATGTATCTCATATTTTATTATTACACCTCATTGTTTACAATATTGCTTATTATTATATTTTACAGCTTTAAACATATATTGCCTAGTGAATACCGAGGTACTACTGAAGGTCCCTACTTTATTAATTTTATTTACACCGAGAATATTTATTTAACAGCGTGTAAACCTTAAGTGTAACCTCGTGATAGATCACTCGGTAAATGTATTATTATAATATTATGTTTATAAACAGTATAGTTGGGAACTGGTTACTGTTCATTATATATTGATATTTATGTGTAGTGTAGTGATGTGCCGGATATCCGTATCCGTATCCGCGGATATCCGAGGGAGAAGAGAGATCCGTATCCGTATCCGTGACTTTTTTGGCGAATCTTTCAATCAGATCTTTTTTGGCGGATCTTTCAATTATATATAATTTCAGTTGAAATTATATATAAGTGATTATATATTTACTGAAAAACTCTTAGTTGCGTGTTAGCAACACTATAAACAACAACTTTTTCTGACGTCAAAAAAAAAACGATCCTGCATTCAAATGACCTATCAACTGATGTTAGTTTGTTTGGAGAAAGTTGTAAGGAGGAGTTTTTTCTTACGTTTTCGATGTTGGTCCAGAACAAAAGTTGTTGTTTTTAGTGTTACTAACATGCACTTCAAAGGTTTTCAGTATTAAAATAACCCTGAATAAAGGTTACTAAGTAGCAGTGAAAAACTTTTGAATTCTGTTCAGATTACTTTTTATTTCTTAAATCAAATACAAACATTTATCGTACTACACTTAATCAACTAGGTAGGTTGTGGGTACTGAAATAACTATCTTTATAATCAGATCAATCAAAAATCTTTGTATTAGCTTATTAAAATAATGAAATATTTGTATATTATAGAAACTTATAACATCACTTTTACAATGAGACAACCAAAAATTTAAATCCATTTTTTTAAAGAATACATGGAGAAAGCTTAAATGTGGGATAATTTAGACCCCAAGTCAATGAAAATTGATTATTTGATTGCTGAAATGTTAGCTTGAGATGATTAATTGACCATAATCATCGGAACCCTAATTCTTCTACGTGGTGAAAAGGTAAATCTGATATTCTTTAAAAAAAGCTTGTTTAAATTCTCTTTTCACCGTTTGTAAAGATGTTCCCGGCTGTGATGTTTCGCCGGTACTCTTCTCAGCGGAGTCTTCTTTCGAAAAAAAATTATCTTCTTGAGGATGTTTTCTCTGCAAATGAATTTTTAAAGAAGTCGTACATTTACCCACACGGGAACTTTCCGTTGCGATTTTTACAATTCGCACATTCATCATTTATTATCACAAAATAATTCCAAATTGCACTACTAAACTTCTTTGTTGACATTTTTATAACTTACTAGTCTCACTACCAAACAAACTGTATCTATGCCGCGCAGTGTCACACTAAACTATAAACAAAATAAAAGTACCGCGCAGTGCAAGTCCAAAACTTGAAACATGTAGATGTAGATGGGTCACATCTGGCACGCGTCAACGGCAAATCGTCAAGTGGCGACAACCATCAAGGTCACGCGTTCCGATTTAGTAAGAAGGTTGAGGTCCGTATCCGCGGATCTTGACACCAAATATCCGTATTCGAATCCGTATCCGCGGATATACTTTGTTAACGATCCGGCACATCACTATATTTATGTAAGATATATTTATTTGTTATTATAAGTATTGTACCAGTATGCAGGAAGGGTGCGTGTGTATATTTGTGACACACCACCTATACTTACTTACTTACTAGTAGCAGTAGTAGTAAGTAAGTAAGTACCACGTATATATACACCGCTGTGTCTTTGTTTCGTTATGTTGCGCCTCTGTATGTGCATGAGGCATGTGTCGTGTACCACAGCACAGTTTCTACTTTCTGTTCACTTAAACATTGCTTCGGTTAACTCTGAGCCTTTGATTAGTGAGGTTAATATTCACTTTTTGTTATGTTAAGAAACTGTGCTGTGTATACGTATGTGTTATGAGTGATGTACAGTCAACCGTATATCTTGAAAAAAATTGAGCTTTAAAAGATTTAGCTTTTAGAACAAAAATGTAATGCTGTTTCAAAATCTGGTCGGATCATTTTAATTACACGTGGACGTCCCTGTTACTCTGAGGAGGGGTCGGATCTACGTTTATACATACATATGTATTTTTATAAAGTAAAAAGGGGGATGTTCAAAGTGAAGTCGTCATATCCTATGTAATTATGGTTAAAAGACACTTTTTATTAATGTCTTATTTTCATAAGAAAGAGTAGTATATTCCACTTTGTAAGTAAAGTTGTTTCGAACCACCTACGCTAACAGGCGAGTGTATGCAATATCGTGCAACAGTTACATCGGATCTGTATTTAGGAGGGAGTCAGAGGGAGTCAGGTAGGTTCTCCGATCAGACGTTTGATACAGCATCGCAGTACGATATAAGAAAGAGCGAGGACGCGAGCGGCGGTTGACTGTAGAGCGCGGACGTGACGGTGCGGTGTGTGCGTAGTGCTGCGGGCCGGCTGCGGGCTGCGCTCCAGCACGCTGCCCGCCGCGCTCGGGCGCCGCCGCACGCCGCCGGGGCAGGCGGGGCAGGTGGGGCAGGTAGGTGGTCGGTAGGGTCGCTAGGGCGGGGAGCTCGGGTACAGGAGCGCCTGTTGCAGTGGTGTCGTCGCTGCGCAGCGCGCCGCGGCCCGGCTACGGCCTGGCGCCGCGCTCGCACACCTTCTCGTCCAGCACGGCCGTGAGTATGCGCCCCGCGCACTACACCCCGCACACCTACACCCCGCTCGACACCTCGGTAATTACTCGCTTCTACCTAGCGCATGTCGCGTTCCAAATATCTGTCTACTCTTCGATTTTCCATTCTAAATATTCCTCGATTCTGTTTCTCGATTAAAACTGTTTATTCAGTGCGAGTCATCTCGAGCTCTAGTTCGATAGGCGCGGTACGTACTCTAGTTGCACACGGAGGCCTCGGACAGGTAAGTTATTAGTAATATTAGAAGAGTCAGTGTTCACTATGGAAGTATGCCCTTAAATTCGGCGCGGAGACCAGGCCTGCCGAGATTATGCCCTAGCAAACTCCTTTTCAAGGTTTTACTCGGTTCGATACCGGTAAAAAAACCAAGTAATCATAATCAAAACTGTTCATATTTATTAGATATGTTATTATTAATAACCATCATAAGATGTTAAACGATTAACACCAGGATCACGATAGTAATTAGGCATACAGACAGATATTTTGAACTATACTGTACATATTTTTATTTCTTAATATTAATGTCAGTTTCTGCAAAAAATTAATAAAAGAAATAATTATAATAATAAGAGATACGTCGAGTACTCATTAAATATTATACATACAATAAAGAACTGAGAATATGTAGTTGTAAACGACGTTGTATTCCGTTTGAAATCGCGTGTGCCCACTTACACAAACTTGAACCGAACTATATTTTACACGCGTACATAACTATGCCAATTCGTCACGGATGATTTATTTGAAATGAATCATAAACGCCATTTATAATTATACTAATAACCTAGGCTATACACCCTACAAGCGTTTTGTATAGGTACACATTATGTACTAACAAGTTGTTGACGCCCGAGACAGCGGTACTATCTATCTGTGTACAGGGTGTAAGGGACGTCGTAACGAATACTGAGATAGTATTACTACATTCACACCATCAGTCTGAGTCGAAAATCATTGAAATTTTCTGATGGAAAATTCATTGTTTTTTTTATATTTCTATTTTTTTGGTTTAAAGCGGTATCACAATGAGTAAACAGAACATTTTACTGTTTTTTTTTATTAAATACTGCATCCAAGCGAAACTGCAATGTAATTGATCAAACAGACGAAGCGCGCGGGGCCTCCCCTCGGCCGCCAACTTGTGTTAGTGTGCGTAGACTGTCTGCAAGGAATACAAATGTAGTTATTACACTTGTGCCATACCCACGGGGAATGACCTTAAAGTTTGACAATTGATTGCATGAAACGTTTTAAATTTCTGGCAGAAAATTCCAATGATTTTTGACTCAGAATGATGGTCACAGATGGGACTCAGATTTGTAAACAAAGTGCTTTAATGAGTAATTGTGATGAGGGTCAGAGACAAATGGCTTCTTTAATTTATTTAAGCAGGTTATTTGAGATAGAGTAGTGTTCATTTTACTTTTGCCTAATGCCAGAACCTCAATAGTGTAGGTAAATAATCAATACCCTCACACTTCCCACACATCTGCCGTCTGATCCCAAACTGGGCAGAGCCTGTACTATGGTAACCAGATTGCTGATAAACATTCTTATATGTTTCTAAATACAAATATATTATAGATAAATTACACCCAGGCATAGAACACACGATCGCAGTCATCACTTAGCAGTCAGGGTCACTGACCATTAGACCAACAGACCCGACTTTGAGGTCAACTGAAGGTACCGCCGTCTCGACGGCTGCACTACTGTTACTAGATAATACTTGTACTCGCCGCATCTCTAAATCTACCGAATTTATTTTTTGTTGTTGTATTGTATTGTTTTTTAAATGTGATCAAAAAATGCATTCTGTTCTCGCGATTATATTAAAGTGTATGTATGCGTGTATTGTAGGGCGACTTCACATTCAGCGGGATGGGAGACAAGACGCATAGCACCGACTTCAGCAGCGGCAAGTCAGACAGTAAGTACAGCTACATTGTATATACACTGCCACTGCCCTGTACAGTCAGCCTCAAGAAGAAGATTACTTGAACAGTTTCCTAATGATGTGAACATTTTTCCAAAACATTGTAATTGACTTTAGTGAGTAGAGACATTCCTGCCAATTCCAAGTATTTATCGGGTTAAAACTTTGTAAACGTGTCTGTTTTGTAATCTAAAAAGTTTCTCTAAATTGTTTTTGATCCTGTCTGTACTAATTACACTGACTGTCGCCGTCGTGGAGACATATTCCTCGGTGCAAACTTATCTAGCCAAGCAGCGTTGACGCTGTTTGTAAAAGCACCACACTATGTACCACCACCAGTATGTTGTACAACATTACACACTCAATGAACCCCGTCCATTTATCGTACTGGTCTCCCAATATTTTATCTTTATAGTTATTGACAAAGTTATGAGCACATAATTTAAATGTACATATATACAGAAGACACGCGCGCACACGCGCACGCGTGCGAGTGTGTGCGTGTGGGTACTGACGATTGTCGTTGTTGTGTCATGCGCGCGCGCAGTGCGGACGGAGCTGTGCAGTAAGTAGCGCCGGCATTGACCATTCGCCAACATCCGCAACGCGCTTAGCTGACCGACACTTGTCCGTGGCCCTTGTCCCATCCTCTCCACACATTTGTCTTTCAAACTGTTTAGGCTGATAAAACCTCATACTGTTCTTTTATTTTTTGTCGTAACTATATTTGAACGTATAAATATTGCAATAGTTTACCTACAATGTTTTAGCGTATAATTGTATTTTTAGTTTGTATGTATCGCTTACAAAACGAACACGTCGATCACATCGTGTACCCCACACTAGCACCCCTAGACCGCAGGAGGCATTACTGGCACTGGCCTACTGCATATACATGTTCTTTCTTTGTTTTACATTTTATTTATATTGACATACAATTTTAAGTATTTTTACATTTAATTCGTAAGCTTGAGCGCTTAGCTTGGACAAAACCAATTTTAAAGTGAGGATTATTTAATCGAATCTCTATTCCTGTTTCTAGTTTCTGCCGGCTCCATAACTGATGTGGATAGGAGTGCTGTGGTGAGTTCCACTTGCGTATCATTATTTGGTTCATATCGTTATATTGTCATTGGAACGAAAAATACTAAATATGAATTCATATTTAAAAAGTCTCAACGTACACATCGGCTATTATTTAATTTACCTCCTCGTATTGTCTGTGGAATTGTATCTCGTATTAGGTTTCTATTTCATGATTGCTAAATTGTGTAGGCTACCAATTTTGTCTAGTCGCGATTAAGTAAATTCATTGATCTGGCAATATACGAAAGGGTCGCCAGTTAGCTATATGCAAATGGTGTCGGTGCAGACTACCGACGGAGGCGTGATCATCCGCGGCAGCGTGGGCGTGGGCGTGGGCGGGCGTCACACGAGCGCGAGCGGCGCGGGCGTGGGCAGTGTCGTGGGCTCGGCCACGGGCGTCCGGCGCTCGCTGCCCAACATGGCCACCAGCCACCTGCTGCACGAGCCGGCCAAGCTCTACCCCTACCATCTACTGCTCATCACCAACTACCGCCTGCCGCCCGACGTCGACCGGCTCAACCTGGAGGTAACACGCACTCACAGCTCAGACTTTTTTAATCTTTTTGCGCGATGAAGCCCCTTCGTCGCGTGAGTGGAAATACGTGTCACATCTTGTCCACGAGCGATCAATCGTTACGGGTCTAGACTTCTCCTGCGCCTCACAGCATGCATGTAGCTTTGTTCCTCACTTTAAGTCTTAGTATTTAATTTTACTGATACAAGTTTTATCGTACCGGATGGTTATACCTATTATTATTTCCCCTAAATGACCTCTTTGTATAAGGTCCATTGTTTTATTTAAACATGTCACAGAAGCTTACACAGACCACTTATTAACTTGTGTTCTCGGACAGCGACACTTGTCGGACGCGGAGTTCGAAGCCATCCTGCAGATCGGGCGCCAGGACTTCTACCGCCTCCCCGTGTGGCGCCGTAACGAGCTCAAGCGGCGCGCGCGGCTCTACTGAAGCCTCCCCTCGACCCCCACCCACCCCTACCCTACAGATGATATTATATAGCGCTCACGTAACGTGGCGACGCCTTGTTTATATTGGAAATATATACAGATACTTATATGTATACTACTATATATATGGTGATTTTGTGTGGGCGCGTGTATCGATTGCGTTAGTGAGAACCAAATATATTACGTTATGTAAGATAAATATTTCGAGTTAAGTTTAAAGCGGGGACGACACCGCGATGCGACGGTAGCTATAAGTGTAGGTTTGTGGGTAGCGGACGATTTGTTTTATTTTATTTAACCGTAAGTGAAACGCGAGGCGGCGGCGGGCGGCGGCGGCTCGTCCCGCGCACTCCTTGCGTTGCATAATTCTCTTTTCACATTTTAGCCGTAGGTATGTACATTGTGTATTGTTGTGCTGAATTAAGTAGCGACTCATAATCGAAGTATAATCGAGGCCTTCGTCCGCCGCCCGCCGGCGCGTGTGTGTTTGTGTGCGCGCGTGCGTGTGTGCGTGTGTGCGGTGGTCGCGCGTGTGTGCGCGGGCGCCACCGCACCACACTTTTATAACATTATGTCGTTGTTTTTAATTTTATTCTAGGCAGATATTATTTTTGGTTGCAATATAGAGATGGAAATTATATTCGAGTATTGTATTTTTCATTGAACGTTTCTGTGGCTTACGAGATGATAATTTTTATAGTGAGTAAGGTACGCTAAGAGTAGATAGCTTACAAACAATTGATACGCCTAATATGTTACCATTGCGAGGGTGGGCGTGCGTTACCCAGTTACCGTGCGGTGCGACTGCCAAAACCACCCCCTTCCCCCACCTCCCGTTGTCTCGTCTGCCCCGCGTGCCCCTTGCCTAGATCGAATATCCAATTATGTTGTAATTTAAACATTTTTAAATATTTATATTAGATAAAATCGTTTTACGAGTTAAATGGTATTTAATGAAAGGCAGGTCATTAGTGATAAGCCCGCGACACTGATCACTCACACGATATCCGTAAATTGTGCGTGAATAATTACCGACACCGCGTTTGACGCGACTCGGAGGAGATAACGCCGGGGCGAGTGATGGGGCGCTTCATTTCTGTATTTTATAAGTTGTAAGTGAAGAGATACATTTATATTGTAGTCAAGTGAATGTTATAAACATTGCAAGTGCCGACACTTTCTGTCAATTGATGTAATACACGTCAGAGTTTCTTCGTAATAATAATAAACAGTGGGCGGCACGGCCCGGGACGCTCGAGACGCGTGAGCGTTCCGGGGCGTGCAAGCAGCGCTTCAAGTTATCAACTTCATGGACCTGTAATTCCGTTTAACTCTTCAATCACTTAATAATCTCGTACGCAGAACATTTTACTTCGTCATCGTAACTGATGAGTTAGGTTCGCGAGCGTCCGCCGCGTGGAGCCATTCGCCCATCTGCCGACGCTCGCAGGCCTTCCCGTGCGCTGTATTACCGAGTGCAGGAGCGACACCGGCTTCCAACTTACATAACTATGTGATCGGAGGAGTTAAATTATTTATATTGAATTATTGTATCTAGATGTATATATGGAGTTTATTTTGTAATAATGCTATATTTTGGTACACCGCGCGCCAGGGTTCAGAGCGTGGGTGTGAATGTATAGCTTCTTACGTCACAGTACAATGTAGCATCGCTTGTGCCGGTCGCACTCCACTCTCTACATCGACGAACGATTGTATTCATGCAGAATTTGAGATCGACAGTTTTATCAGTGATTTTTAACGTGAAGACTATGCTTTTAAAGTAATAAACTTGCATTTCCGATTTGTGCTGTTTTTTATTTTACCCCAATTCTCTTTTACCCTGTACCGTAGGCGAGGCGAAGATTACAAGATGTGGACCGCTGGCATCGATTGTGGCCGTGCTCGGCCGTTCTACTTACATCCTTCGTAACGTTTTGTGTGTTTAAGGAAGAACCGCGACAACACGCTTTGAATAAACCGTTGGTTTACATAACTCCATGTTCGAGTACTTAGGCACTAAAGCACGGCCAGGGCATACAGTATGTGTTCAGAGTGCATCATGTTCAGTCTCAGATCAAATTAAAAAAGTCAAGATAGAACTGTGAGAAGAATGAAGTGAGGCCGGTTTTATAAACATGTGTGCGTGGCCCGGTATTCTATTGAAAATATTGGTTATGGTTATGTCTAAAATGCGATTCCATCCTGCTAGCTATCTCTTGCAGTTTGATTTTTACATTTGGTTTGACCCTTTCACAACACAATCCAGCATTTTTACTTATAAATATTTTCGACATTTTTGATGAAGTTTAGACTGACAAGGCGTACTTTCGTTGTACGTGTGCGTGTGATTGTGTATGTACACGCCAACACGACCGTTTTGTCTTTGGTTGGCCTCACTTCTTTGTTCACATAGTACCATCTTAACTTCATTATTTGGTCTGATTGTTCAGTAAATAAAAAGTAAAAGGATGGGAATATTTAGATATTAAAGTTTTCAAAAAATTAAAATTGAAAACTTTAGTACCTAACTTTTTTATGCCATAGCAGACAAACGGAGTGTATCAAATATATCGAACACGTGTCTTAGTGTAAGTAGGTATGTTAGAATGAAATATTACTAACAGACGAGTTGAGTATCGAAGTCTAATAAAGTTCAGCGTTAATGTAGGACACTAACGCATAGAATGATCAGTTTTAAATAAAGTGGCGAATCTTAAACCTAGAGACCTTAGGTCGCAGACGCACTCATTTGAATGACCAAATTCATCAATCAACTTTATATATATTTTACTACAACTCAAAATATCTTTATTTTTTAAATTATTTAAAATCGTTTTGTGTGTACTATAGAATCTAGTCATAGATTAACACACACAATAGCAACAATCTATGTTAAGTAAAATAGCAAACTAAATATATACTTATCCAAAATCTCTTATATGCCTGTGCCGATCTACAACCGCCCATTTCCAAGGGGTTGAGCTTCATGAGAAGATAGGGCACACAAACTCACGGCCACTCTAATTAAATAACAGATACAAACAATGGGCTCAATAAATATACACAACATTGTTCTGATGTGTGCCAGTATGTAAGTTTTCAAACATAAAAACAAAGACACAAGGACAAAGATAAAAGGCAATGAAGAGAATACAAGATACAGAAAAAAGAACGAATAAAAAACGAAAATGAAGTAAAACTTAAAAAAATTAAATATGAGACACGCTAGCCTACATCACATTGTCACTACAAAATAGCCTGTGCTAAATTAATCCCAAGCATTCTTGTCTTCTATGTAATCCACAATTGAGTGATAGGCTTTCTTACATAGTTAACGTTTTACTGTGGATTTAATTTTTTATACTAAAATCTTGAATACTATTTGGGATTTTATTATAGAATCGGACACATTGACCTCGAAATGACTTGTTTATCTTTTGGAGCCTAGAGGCAGGTAGGTACAACAAGTTTATTTCTATTTCTGGTATTTAAAGCATGTACTTCACTTATTATAGGCCTAGAAGTGGCTTGGTGACCAATGTCAGCAGAAATTCAGCTGTCGGTTTGACTTTCGCACAGTGTAAGTATTGCTGGCATTGAAGTCAATTCGAATTTGGTTCTTATTCATAACAAGTAATAATATGTACACCAAAAGGAACTTAGCTTGGTGTAAAGACCAATAGTATAAGTTTGAGCCCAAAACATGTTACTTAATAGTGATAAAATCAGTATATTTTTAAAGTGATTTGATATGGATTCTTAGATTATTAGTATTAATCTTAAATTGGATCTCGATATTATTTATCAATTTTATCTATAGCTCGGAATTTATCGTGAGCCATATTCAAGTAATGACTAATGTTATATACCTATTTAGTTTAAACAAAATAAAAAAAATGTATTGTTGGTACTATTCTTATCCTGTAACTTTTATGAATGAATCTGTTCCTTTTTGGGACAATTCTCTGAACTAAACTTATTCTGATTTTATCCCATTCATTCACTCTATAAGCTACCATAAGTTTCTGAATTTAATATTAGAAAATTAAAAAAATATTTATTCAGTTATCTTTTTGACAGTTCGATTAATTTCCCTTAGTGATGAACAATGTTGCTGATTCAAAGAAAAATAAAAATCGATTTTTATTAAGAAAAAGTTTAAGTTGAATTAGATATAATTAAAAGTTTGCTTCTACATTTCATACAAAAATTACACGAAATATTTGATAATCCCCATTACAAAGAGCTACCGTTAAGACCTAGTTTTTTTTTAATGTTAGAAAACGAGCAGACGGGTCACCTGATAGAAAGCGACTACCGCCGCCCATGAACGCCTGCAACTCAGGAGTCACAAGCGCTATGACAGCCTTTGAGGAAGGAGTACGCTCTTTTCTTGAAGGTTCGAAGGTCGTATGGGTCCGGAAATACTGCAGCCGATAACTTGGAGCGCCAATTTTTCAAGTGGTGGGGATGAAAATTTTGGCGTGTGGAATGATGGCTTAAGGTTGCGGCCGGTATTATTATAAATAATCTACACGAACGAAGCTACATCTCCACGTGACGCCAAGGGATCGAGTCGGTAGCAAATCTTTCGGCTATCGACGATTCGAGTCGCTCTTCTTTGGATACGGTCCAGAGGGAGAAGCTGGTACTGTGGTGCCCCTGCAAAGAGATGAGAATAGTATTCTATATGCTGTCGGACTTGCGCCTTAAAGAGTTGGAGGCGATGGGCTGGAGTTAAATACTGCCTCGATCTAAGAGCCAAGTGCGAGTCTATTTCACTTCTACTCGATCGTCACGGTGACAGCGTTCGGCGTTGTGATCGGCTCACGCTGAAATTTCCACCAATCGCAACGCTAAACGCGCTCGCCGTCGAGAGCGAGTTGATGTGAAATAAAATTGCACTTGGCCCTCTGTTCAGCACACCGAGCTTCTTCGAGGCCAATTTGACCTTACCTTCTAAATGACCGGGAAACTGGCCTTCACTTGATATCCCAATGCCTAGGATTGCAATACTAGCTGAGGCAGTTAGAGAGGTGCTCTCAAATCGAGGCGATACGACAAACCGTATCAGTTTTGCGGTGAAAGCGCAAACCTATGTCTTTTTTGGGCTAAAATGGACCAGATTCAGTAGACTCCAAGCTGAATCCTTCGTTTCGACTCTCGATGACGTTTTCGAGAGAAATATTGGGACAGCCGGTATAAAAGGCATCTCCCGTGCTATCATCTGCATAGCAATGAATGCCACTAGTTCGTAACATATCGTTGATATGCATAAGAAACAGTGTAGGTTATAGCACACAGCATTTACTGACTTCAAGTCGGAGCATATGTTTCATTTTTAGTCAGTTTTTAGCTACTTATTGCTTTTTTAAAATAAAATTAAATTAACCTTAATTAACTTAAATTTAATTAACTTAAATTATCCATGGTCTTTCATTCTGGTTTAGAACATTCTGATGTAGATTCACTATAATTGAACGTAAAAATTTATTTAGGAAGGTAATTTCTAAAAAAGAAACCAAATTAGCATAATGTTATTTAATTTAAATAGAAGCAATATATAAATACATAAAAATATTGTGGTCAGAACTACTTTTAAAGGGGCTAGAATAATATTTATGAATTAACTTTTTAGGTTTCAGAAATTGTTATTGCATAATAATTGCATTATTTTTTCTTCTCGGTATAGGGCATTATGTTTAGTCTTGAAATAGTTTACCACATTGTGGGCAGCACTAAAGCACAACTACATAGATTATTTAATTGACCGAATGACGTTCAAGTATTTAATAGTCTGTGAAACCGCAAAAGTCGCGCGTGTTAGTCGCTAAGGAATCAATTTTGATTGTTCTAAATTTCATATGTCTTGTGACAAAAATAGTTAGTGAAAATGATACTTCTAATTCGGTAAAAAAAAATCGAAACCCTTTATTAATCTATCTTTTTTAGTGTTTATTTTGTGCTGAGTGTCAGTATTCAGTGAGTATTATGAACTTTGAGGACTATGAGACCCTTCCGACCCAAAACTCCGTCGTACACATGACCGCCGGAGCGATGGCGGGGGTGATGGAGCATTGCATAATGTACCCGCTTGACTCCGTGAAGGTAAGCATTGAGAGGAGCAGAGGACAGTGTTGAGGAAAAGTCGACACCTAACCTATTCTCGTGCTGTCAGTTCAGTCGGCTGGCTGTTACGCCACCAGTTGGCGATCTCTCGTTATGTAAAGACATCTGATTTACCTCCAATAGCAGACCGTCAACTGTTGATAATCGCTATATCTTGACCCACACACCTCGGGTGATAACCTTCAATGTTCTAGCAATTATCTCATTGTCAGTACATGGTTGTTATTATTCGACAATTTTCCTATTTCGCACACCTGTTTTAAAATGCTTGCATGAATTTAGGTAATTTCCATCAAAATCGATCTTGTCAACTCTGAAAAATACAACCAATGTGTTTTTAGTAAATCTAGTCTTAAATGTGAACAAAAATAAAAAGTATCTTGAATCAAAATATTGCATCCAAGTCATACATTTGTCGAATTTAAATCAAACATGATGATAAGTTCATTAATGTGATTGATATCAGCACATTTGTGTCCTTGAGCACACCTTGGTTAGTATTAATATTTGTTATCAATCATTTTAATGACTTAAACTTGTGGTTCTACCTATTTTGGAATTCTCAAACAAAATATATTTTGTTGTATATGCTTAGCGGTGCAAGCACTGTACGGTGTAGCCGCACATGAGGAGTTAAAACTATGTGTAACATGAAATAACAAACTATAATGTTTAGTTTACTTTAATAATATTTAACAGTTAATTTGAATTGTGGGTTGTAGAAAGAAAGTGGTGTTGCAATTAGTGGTCCAACAAAGATAAACTCTGTTGTATGTGGTCATTCTGACATTATATTTAATGACTAAACTAGATCTGATGAGCCCTAGCCATATATGAGATAGCTCCATCCCCTACTTCTAATTTAGACATCTTCTGCTATCCCCCAATTTCAAATCATCTTATCTACTGTTAAATAAGTATCTAGTAGGCTGTTCCTGTGCAGCCAACTCTAATTGTTGCTCTTGTGGGGTTTTGTTGTGTAACTGTTCCATATTTATATCTCTATTCTGTAGGGCTTTCATTGAGGCTACCTAAAAAAGATCTAAATGAACATGGATGATGTAATTTCTATTTGAAACGATGTACTCTAACAGTCTACAAAAAGCGTTGTCTGGTATGGGTGACCAAAATGTATGTGAATTTGAGGCATGTTTCATATGTCTGTGGATCATTTAGCACCTTGTTGGTGTTTACTTAACATCCTCATGCAAGTACATTCCTGGTCATCATACCATATTTGTTTTGTGGTACAGTACTACTTAGTGTTTCATTGCATAAATGTGTCTATTAACATCGATTTAGGTGTTATTATGTAAATATGCTTGTATAGAAAGATTAAAAAGAAAACTGAGGCATGTCTGTATAAAATTTAAGGTTAAGGCTGTTATCTCTGCCTATCCTGAAAGTAGATACGAGACGAGCTTATGTATGAACAAAAATATCTGGTTGCTGATGTGTGTCCTAATTCTTTGTGACAAAGTCTAGTATTTGTTTAGCTTTATTCGCTATATAGCTTCATAGGGTTTATTTGTTAAAATAGACTCAACCTGCATAGAGCAAGAAATTTATTGAAATACACATATCTGAGCTCATGAGCTTCAAAAGTATGCTGGGACATTGTTGTGTTTTGGGGTTTTAAGTCCCCACTAAAGTAACCACAAGCTGAACTATTTTTTTAACACATGACAAAAATTAAATCTTATCAAGTATATACTTATATACTATTTATATTAAATTGAATAACATTGTAAGTAATTATTATTTTTGTTTCAAAAAAATTAGTGAACAGTCCTTGACATTATTGCTTGTGTTGTGGGTGACTACAAAAATAGAAGTTATACCCATTAGATTGAACAGGTAAAAATTACAATCCTATAAGAAACAAGTGCCCTATGTGAGGGTCAAACCCACAACATTTGCTGCAGTGCTAGGTGGCTGACACATACAACTGACACCAGCACACAATTCATGCAGGCAATATGTTCAATAAATGTCATACCTCACTAGGTATAAAGAGCTAATAATAATTTACTTAGAAGTGCATACATTTCCTTTAAGAATTTTGTTCACAAGTATATTATTTATTTGTAGTATTTCTTAGTACACAGTTGTTGTGTGCACATTTGATAAGCAAACTTGTTTGAATTATTGTAATTATGTGTGACTTTGTTCAACTCCTTTACAAAGCAAGTTATATTTAATAGAGTTTTGTTTTGCACCACATCTGGCCCCACCCTCCCTCTTGCTTGCCAACATGTTCTGTTAACTACCGTCTCATGTCATACATGTAACAATGTTGATGATATACATACATACTAGTCATTCTTTAATCTATGTGTTTCAAAAGTTCCCTATATTAGCACATTTAACATATAATAATAGCAATAATAAATGTACACACAGCCATCTTCTCCCAAACTAAGCACGGCCAATACTATAGCAGCCAGTGAGTGTGTAACATGTGTTCTGCATTGGAACAGATCCCACAATCTTAGGCTCGGTAGTCAGTATTACTAACCACTAAACCTAACTAAAAAAATACCAACATAATAAAACCAATTGCAATGATTTAATTATTTTGTAAGTTCAATTATTGTGTTAAGAGCAGTACTAAAGTAATCTCAATGGTTTTTTTAATATTAATAAATACTATCATGGTTTAGATAAGATGAATAGATCTTGTCCACTACTCAGCTTTTAACACTTTTACATTTGCTAAGAACATACTGGTGTTCATAATCTGCATTTGTACTCAAGGTTCTGCTCCCTTTGACCTGAAGTAGCCAAACAGTGTTTGATGAGGTTATTTGTTTTATAGCACAGGAGTGCAAACAAGCATTGTTTTGGCCTCTCCCTCACTTGGTGGTAAGCAATCAAATCACAATATCTTGTGATTATATAATTTTGGTATGAGATGCATTTGTGTCAAGTTGAGAGTACAGTAAATAACTCTTCCTTTAGATAACAATACAAATTAATATTAATTTAAATGCATTCAAGAGTTCATCACAAATGCTTCAGCAATCATAATAGTTTGTTATTGAGCAACAGAAATCAAACTTGACTGAAGTCTATATATGTCATACCTTCAATTTAACGTAACAGCAAGGTTAACTCATTTTCAATGAAACCACTTATATAACTAAATTCTAATTTGAATGGCATCAAGGCCTTGAAAAAAGTGTCATGAATAATGGAATGTTCACTGCCTAGTGATTAACTTGTCGTGTACTAGAGCATAGACATCGATATAACGACAATCCATTTAATATGTACATTTATAAATGTTATATGAGAAAGTAATCTGCCTTGTTCGAACTCTGCCAGCAAACTTGAGTCAGGTAGGCGGTCTCGCAGTCGTCGGCCCCTCGCTGGGTGCCGCAGGCTCGTAGCGCGGGCGCGTTGTGCGCCGACATCTCGGGCGGTAACATCGCCAGTACCGCCTCCACGTCCACCTCGCCCTCCGACATCATGCCCGCCGTCTCCATCGTACACTTGATGTAACATTTGAGCTTCGCGTCCAGCATTAAGTCCGCTCCACCGTTGACCTTCTCCACTAACGAAATGTCTACCCCTGTTTCCCCTGCACAGTTATCGCGCACCATACGCGCCAGTTCAGCCATTTCGGGGTCCATCTCGATACCCGCGACAGTCACCGCGAGATAAGCCGCCATTACGGTCAAGGACGCGAGGATCTGTCCTGTCATGACGATGTCTCCGCCGGCGCCCGAATGTAAATGACCACAACTAGATCAAATCTGTTTATATAGGAAGGTGCTCAATGTCACTAAATGATCTACGATCACGTGGTCTCTCGCAGTTTACTTGTTAAATTACATGCCAACCCTATAATATCCAGTGATTAAAAAATATTGTTTATCAAACTCTGTACATGTACTTAACCAGCATCGGGAACTGTAATTTTTAGACACACTGTCAAGTCATTGAAAAAAATTACGCTCAATAAAAAGTGAATTACACTGTTCTGTTACGTTCGCCAGAATAATGATTAGTTTGGAGGTAAAGCAGAAAGGAGGGGAGGCGTCACCCTCGTTAAACACATAATGAAGGGTGTTAAGTCCATATGAGTGAGGTGTTGACAATGGGTAACAGTGGGCCCGTTTGTTCCAGACTCGAATGCAGTCCCTGCGGAGCGCACACAACAGCACCATCACAGAGACCTTCCGGTACATGGTGCAGCGGGAAGGACTGCTCAGGTAAACTTCACTCTAATATCCCTCATCGATTACACACTTAACATTAAGTTTCTGTGACTTTTTGCGGACGGTACTCCCGTTACCTAAGAGGGTGTCTGCGACTTTAGCTTATTCTATGCACACGTGCAACTAAGATGTAGTAGCGGTAGCCGTCATGTCCTTCGGGAACCGTTTGTCTGCAGTCTTCAGATAGATCAAAGGCTTGTTTAGGTTGCCTGCTGTCTCATTCCTGTGCATACTCATTCAATCATTACAGGGGTTTCTATTCATGCATCTGTTAGAAGAACTAATATAGTCCAAGATTCCAACAAATATTGCTAATGGTTAAAACCATTAGCAATATTTGTTGGAATAAAAAAAAAATATGTTTGGCCAAAAAGTGCTGCTAATAAGAAACTTGTAGGAATATTGTACCTCATCAAAGAAATGCATTCCTAAATGGATTGTACTTTATTTTTATCATTTTACACAATGTAGGCGGATGGGGACTCAGTTGACTTAAATGTCTTATATGGAACAAAGGGAACTAATCCCTTACTTATTTGAGGTTATTAAACACAGAAATCTCTCAACAAAAGTATTTTGGACGGAAAATAATACCAAAGTAGCTTTGCTCGTTGAACTCAGTTCAAAGGATTATTTTGTTACTCTTATTTACATTATAAACAAATAAAAGGTAGTTTGACCATTAAAATAGTGGTTTAAAACACTTTCGACTAGACACGTTATTCAAAACCACTTTTAATCACAAATGTTCAGTCGAAACTACTTGACGGTGTTTAATGACCCTTATTTTGAGCAATGAAACGTTGTAAGACGAGCATCGCCGGTCTGTCTTTTGTCTCGTGTTAATAAGCGCTTTCGGTGCTTCGATAGTTAACACTTGCGGTACCATTACTATCACTCGTACGTTACTCCCTCTAGAGCCCTCTCAAATATAGCTCCGGTGACAATATTCACCAGGCGGATAGCACTACACCAGCACCATACCTTCCGGTAGCGCTGCCTAACTAATGTTTCATGATAAAGTTATTGAACCACTCGATTCGACGACACTTGTTTTAATACTTTCTTATGGTCTACGTAGTACACGTGTCTAGTGTGTACCGTATTCTGTATTTTTATGCCACAAGAACATTCTCACCTTGGTTACGCTAAAGAACATTAATCTGAGGAACTTAAAATATTTTTGCAAAAACAATTTTTTTAGTTTAAAAGGTTCAATGTTAAATCTGAAGCTGCTACTGCGTCTGGACTCTCACACTGGTTTTTTAACAATCATGTTGCATAAAACGCTTAACCCTAATTAATGCAAACATTGTCAAACACAATAAAGTGCCATAAAAACGTATTTAATGAGGGTAATAATTATTTAAGTATGTACAAATATACAAAACAGGTGTAACGACGTGTTTGACTGGGAGCTGAGCTAATATTGACGCGCTGCGCCACCATCGCACCAGTAAGCACGAGTTTTCGCACCGCGCGATACCGGAGTGTGTACACATTACGCTCCTGCCTATTTGTTAACACTCTTATATCAACTTAGTTTTATTTTATAAATACAAAGGACAATATTGAACATGCAGCAGTGGAAGGACATGTGCGATGTACCTCTAAGTAGGTGATGCCAGCAGTCCTGCGGTTGCGCACCACGCGCACACTAGACGTTAGGCCCGTTATGGAATATCAATAATCGTAATAATCAAATATATTAAGTGTCATTCCTTGTTGACTGAATGTATGTCGATCTGCGGAGCTAACGTAGTAGATGACATTAGGATGTCTGATAACGGCCGTGCCTGTGATTGTGAGGAAGTTGCTCTCGTTTATGCTAATAGAATGACTACGTTGATATTGTTGTATCGGGTATATTTATATATTTATATCGGGAATTTATACTCTTTGTTGACCTAACAAGACGAGGTCCGAGTGCAGATAGTTGCGAAAATATTAATAACATCTTGTCATCGTAACTGACCGCCGTCACAGCACTCTGCAGAGCACAGCCTAGCGTCGCCACTGTGTATAGGTATGTAAATAATATTTCAATCACACGAGCCGAGACTTATACTTACATACGATGCAATGAAAGTAAATTGTTTGCAAAATTAGAGTACAAAGCAGAGGAAGATATTTCACCAACTCGTCAATTGAAGGGGCGATGTTGATCCACGAAACACGCGGCGTCCGTTGAGGTCTCTTGGCCAAAGACTCGTTCGGCCACGCGATGTCATAATGTTTGGAAATTGTAATTTTAATGCGTTTGTGACTCCTGTTTGTTGGGTTTGTGCAACGTGACAAACGCTGTTTTTCCATCCATCACTGTTCTGTTATCCGTCGATCTAACGTAAATGATTTCTAAATCAGTGTGAAAACATTGTGAATAAGTTATTTATAGCTAGCATTGTGTTAATAGGTTAGTTTAATATGAATATAAATGAACAACACTAGAACAACAACAATATTACATTGTTCCGTCTAGCTATGTATACGAGTACACACATTGCTTGGGATTGATGCTGCTCACTCCCACATTTGAAAGTGATGAACATTTATTTTTTTGTTGTAATTCGTATTTCATTTGTTTTCAAATTTGTTCATTTGAAATTGAATAGTAAAGTTTTTTTTTGTGTCAGTATGTAAATGTGAGTATAGCGTAGGCTTGTAATGTTAGTTCATATTTTAGTAACTTTCTGGTGATTTTGAGTGTTTCCACGGCCCACTCAAGTGTCCTGCAGGCGGTAGTGTCGAGTTCCGGGTTGTTCATCCTGATTATATCGGTTAGGCTATACAATCGCTGGGGCTGGTATGCCGTCTGTATGGATGGGCCGACTCAATACTATGGTTCTTTCTTCAAAAAGGCCAACCCATTTGTTTGTATGGATTGCCCGCCTCCCGCTTTTCTCCTTAAAAAGCAACCTTATCCCTAGGAGTCAAACCTCCTCAAGGAGCTGTAAAGAGCTTTCCTCGAATCGGTGGACTTTCGTTCTCCTAATCGATCAAAAACAGGAGTAAAACACTAAACTAGTAGTCTAGTGCCCACAATCCACTAAGGTCACAGCAGAGAGCATAAGCATGATAGACGTATTTTTAATTTTCTGTGGATGCTATTTAGGTCTGATAATAATAATAAGTCAAGTTTGACCTCTCTTGCACTTTACACAAATAACATATTTGATACGTAACTAATGTATTCGACTGTTTCAACTTGTGATTCTTGTGTATAGCTGTTACGCAATCTAATAAATCGATATTATAAGTTGGGCTGTTCGAAAATCTGGAAACTCACTTTCATTAAACGTTTTAAAACTGCGGGGGCGGGTATTTTGGAAGGAATAGCATCGGAAAACCGGAGTATTACTATAACCGTCTTTGGGTACACAAATGAATCATCCAAATTCGAGAAAGAGCACTGTTTTTTTTATCACGATATTGAACACACGTGTGGTGACGGATTAAGAATACGGTGTATTGGTATTGGTATTGGTTGTGGGCTTCGGTTTCCGCATTTAGACTCAGAGTGGTCCTTTATGCGTCGAGGATTGGTTGACTAGGTGAGCCAACCAAGCTCCTTCCAGAAGCGCAGAAGCCTCCTGGGGCGTTCACAGGCTTCTAGGAGCGACTTTATATCAGGAATGATACTTGCCCGTTGTGTGGCCACTCCCTCGCATTCCAGGACTACGTGGGCGGCCGTTTCTTCAGCTTCCAGACATCCCCTGCACAGGGGACTGTCCGTCGCATTGATTATGAATAGTTGTCGGTTCAGGGCTAGATGTCCTGTAATAGTTCCGACAACCATTCTGAGTTCCGGTCTGCTAAGACTGATCAATCTGCAGGTGAGTCGTGGTGTGACTTGATTCAGCACCAGTTTGGACTGTCTGCAGCCGGGTGAGTTTTTCCACCTCCGGTTGTGTGCTTCACAGGTCCGTTGCCTGACCCAGCATCGTATTTGGTTAAACGATATGGGCAGGAGTGGCGTTGGGCCAGAGGTTGGGGTTGCCGAGCCCCTCCTTGCCAACTCATCTGCGGCATCGTTCCCGTGTGAGTTACTGTGCCCTTTAATCCATTGGAGGAGTACCCCATTGAATATAGCGAGCTGTTCCAGTGCTTGGTGGCATTCGAAGACAATACCAGAGGTCATTGTGTTGCCCTCCAGTGCCTTTAAGACGGCCATGCTGTCGGATATTATTCGGATGTTGTAGTCCTTGATACCCCTTGACATGGCCGTTGTGGCAGCGTAAGTTATTGCCACACATTCACATTGAAATATGGAACTGTGTTGGCCTAACGCTAGTGATTTGTTTATATTTAGGTCTTGCGAGAAAACTCCGGCTCCAGTTCCTGACCTAGTCTTGGAACCGTCCGTGTAAATTCGGACTTCGTTAATGCCGGATTGATCTCGGTCATTTCCATGTATCTGGATGTAGTATCTTCTTGTGAAGATATGGTGTTTTGGGATTCTATCGCATGGAGCTGCTATCAGTGGTTCGTATTCCACTAATTGATCCCATAATTTGGAGTGCGATCCCTCACTTTTGTGCCATAGACCCAGGTGTTTGAGTCTAATGATCGCCATGGCGGCCTCCTGCTGTATGAATAGATCCAGGGGTGGCAGACCAAGAGCCACCTCCAGTGCGGCAGTAGGCGTTGTGCGCATACAGCCAGTGACCGCGGAACATGGAAGTCGCTGGAATTGCTGCAGTTTGTTTATGACGGTGCTAAGCTCTGTTCTCTGCCACCAGACAACAGCACCGTAAGTGATTATTGGTCTTATGACTGTCCTGTATAGCCATAAAGTGATTTTGGGTGATAGTCCCCAGCTTTTGCCGAGTAGCCGCTTGCATTGGCAGAAAATAATGCAGGCTTTATTCAGTTTTTCATCGAGGTGCATATTCCACAGGAGTTTACTGTCCAGTATTACTCCTAGGTATTTGACCTCTTTGGTAAGAGTAAGTTGTGTTCCAAATAGCTTAGGAAGTCTGAGATTTCCTAGGCTG